ACTTATATCTGGAGCTCCTATGGAAAGGATCGCCATTGATTTTCTTGGACCATTGCCTGTAACTGAAAATGGAAATGAACACATTTTGGTTTTGTCGGACTATTTCTCTAAATGGGTGGAATGTTTTGCTTTACCAAATCAGCGAGCTGACACCACTGCTGATGTTTGGTTACTCAATTCTTTTCGAGATTTGGGGTACCAAGAATTCTCCACTCAGACCAAGGAAGAGACTTTGAATCAAAATTATTTTCAGAAATGTGTCAATTGTACGGGATTCAAAAGACTCGAACAACTCCATATCATCCAAGAAGATTATTTCGTGATTGACATCTAGTGCAACTTCAGTGTCCAATAAGCTGGCAGAAAGAACCTGAGTGGTGATACACATGCACGGACTTTTAAAAAATTAGTGTTTGTTTATTCCGACAATCACTGACAGTTTAAGCTACTTGATAACGACCATTCAAATTAGAATAATCTATTGAGGGTAACATAAAAAAAGAGGAAAATATTGGTACTTCAAACAAAAAGCCTGCGCTTATCCCTGGACTGAAAACTCGAGAAAGAAGAAAGCGACACGCTGCAATTTTCAAGGTTGCCAGGTAATGGACTGGCGTAGGTCTTCGATGATCTATAAGTTCGAAAATTTTCGGACGTATATGTTATAAAAAATAAACACGCCAGAGATAAATAACCAAAGCACAAAATTTAAACTAATAAACCATGAAGCTTCACCCAATCGAGTAAGCGAATTTAATCCAAGAGATCTACGGCAAAGTCGTTAAATTGACAAGATTATCTGAGAAAGAAAATTGGGAAAGACCATTTTATGTAACAGCCCTCTGTCCATCATCGAATGAGTGAATATTTTTCAAAATCGTTGCTAGAGATTCCAGGAAGAATATGGAAAAATACAAACGCCCTACATAGCTCTATAGAGTAGACGAATTCCATTTTAAATACAAAAAAGTTAGATGCGCTTAGCCCAGTAGCGTACACGGAGGGAAAGGCGATTTTTGTATCATGAAAAAGTTACCTCATATACAATAGACCAGTGGTTCTGACCGTGCCTCCCTTCCCTACCCCACCCCAGTTGTGGGAGGGCCACGATACTATGTGATAAAATAATTTCAATATGACTTCGTTAACCTACTTTTTTCTTCAAATTAAAATAAATTCACTGTTCGCCGTAGTTACAGTACCCGAAAGGGTTATTTCTAATGACAGGATGTTTTCACTTTTGTACTTGTCATATATACTTGTCCACGAGTCCTAAGAGACTTTGGAAGGGGGGCACGAACCATAATAGGTTGGGAACCACTGATCTACTTAATCTTGCTACACTTTAAATATACCGTTTGTTCTGTCAGTATTAGGTTTGCTTATATTCATAGTGTATACAGTTTTCAAAATTGACTTTGGCCGAACACGCTATATATATATTTAGGCTCAACTTGAAAATCAAATCTCCGAAGTGAACCAAAAGAATAGGTTACTTATCTATAAATCTGATTACAGACAGTAGTATTAAACTTCATTTGTCATTTATTTAAATTCATAAAAAAAGAAATTTAATGAAATGATATAGCGATGTTCCATGATGGTGAGACATACGGTTTACGTAATATATATAATGTAAAGTTTCTGTTGCTTGATGATATATATCAGGGTGGTCCAAGGTTGTCGGCTCCGCGGGCCACAAAATTATTTTTGCATTGTTCGCGGGCCACAATAGTGCCAAGAATAGGTAAACAGTGCAATACAAAACAAACACCTTTATTGTGCAAACACATAGTTATTAGGCATAGCTATTCTATGCTAGAATCTGCATTCGATTTTCAGTTTTCTATGATGCCTATATTGTTTGCATATATTCCCGACTAAAAAGTTAAAAAGCCAGATAACAATTTAGACCGCCAAGCACATCATTCAACTTTGCTAGTTTCCCCAGCTATCCATAACACTATTTAATTCAGTGACAATAGTGATGACAATACGTCAAAAGCTTTTTCTGATAAATTTTATGACGAAACAACACGAAATGCGATTTTTTGATTACTCTCCGAATGTGATGCGGGCCACAGATAATGAAGAGGCGGGCCACATGTGGCCCGCGGGCCTGGGTTTGGACCACCCTGATATATATCTTTAATTATACAAGAAATTATATATAATTTTGTAGGCGGCTACACGGTTGGGAGGTTGTTATTCGACCAGTCTCATCAATGGATTACACCCAATAAATAAGGTGGTTATTGTACCCTTTATTGCAAGATCAAACTTTCGAAAACAACTTTATAATTTAGCATCAAACCACATGATGGATTGATATGGTTTGCGTGTTATACAATAATATGTTATACAATATATGACGTCCTTTGTTAATGCTATTTAAGAGAGATTCCCGTGTTTCTCTACAAAAGATTAGATTTTTAATCCAATATCATTGTCAAATACATCAATTCAGCAGGATAGGTGCAAATATTAACGTGGTTTTTGATGTGCGATGGAACTAGTACCGCTCGAGGGAGCAATACTATTATAACGTTCATCTAAAAAATATTAAAAGTTTGAAAAAAAATTTGACATTCCGATCTTCAAAATTGATAAGATGTTGGTTCCCGGAAACCAAATAGACTGCTAGAATAGATTAATTTTTGTAGGTTAGGAAATAATACTGTTGCATTAAGATACAACCCAACCCCTTGCTCCATAATCAAATTTTTCAAGACGAACACATTGCTTTTTAAAAAATGGAAAGATTGTAAATTCAAAATTCATCGTTTAGAACAGGATGGTCCAAACCCAGGCCTTCGTGTGGCTTATTATCTGTGACATGCGTCGCATTCGGAGAGTAATCAAAAAATCGCATTTGGTGTTATTTGGTCATAAAACTAATCCGAAAAATCTTTTGACATATTGTTACATCACAAATGTCACTGAATTCACTAGTGTTATGGTTAGCTGAGGCAACTAGCGAGGTTGAATGATGTGTTAGGCCAGTGTTTCCCAACCCGAGTCCGCGGTCTCAAATGAGTCCGCGGAGCGTTCGAATGAGTCCGCACGTGCCAGAATGTACTTATCAGCCAAGTTACGATTTACGTTAGAATTTACAAAAAACGACACGACGACACACGTGTCGATAGATACCCAAGTGTTGTTTCTCGCGAATTCGAACAACGAAGAATAAATATTTTTCTGTGGTGGGTATCATTGGTGGTAACCCAAATTTTCTGAATTGATAAACGCCAATACAAAATACTAATAATAAAACGAGAACACCATAAGTTTTGTTTTATGAATGCTCGCGACCGATTAAAAACGAGTTTTTAGACATGCAAATCGCAAAATTTCGGGTGCTACGTACTGTACGAACCAGGGCATTTTCCCATAAGATTCTTTTCTTTACTGCCTCCACATTGGTACGTACAGTACTAGAGCGCCGTAAGTGTTGTACGAACAGCTCAGATTTGTCGAATTCACAAAAATACGAATCAGAAGAAAATATAATCGGGCACTTTACCACGCATTTTTGTGTCTACGGATTGTGATGATATTTTAGTAGTATTGCTTTTATTTCGTTAAAACAACCTCAGATTGGAATGATCACAATTAAATTAATAACAAGCAAGGCGATGAATATGTATTTTTGATTTACTGATATCATTTGAATATATTTTTAATAAATACTAAATTAAGCTGTACTTTCTGGAAATGTAAAGCAGATGCTTTCATCTTGTCGTAAGTCGACACCACCGCGAGTTGAACACTTTTAAATTAAAATGGAAATAATTTGAAATTCTCGTCGTTATCATGTATTGACATTATACACTAAAAAAGTCGGCCCTTTTAACGAACGCGTAATTGCGGCGATTTTCCGATTTTGAAATTCGTTTAAATTCTGTTGTGTTTGGTTTTATTGCTTCTTCGCACAGAGTACAGTTGCAATAAACGTACCTTGAGTCCGCAAAGGTTTTCGCCGGTGAGAAAATAGTCCGCGACCAAAAAAGGTTTGGAAACGCTATGTTAAGCAGTCTAAATCGTTATCTGACTTTCTATCTTTTTGGTCGGGAATATATGCTAACAATTTTGGCATCATAGAAAACTAAAAATCGAATGAAGATTGTATTCGCCTATGTTGGCTATGTCTGATGATAAAATATCAATGTTATGGCCTGAAAATATATTTCATGCCGGGTATTTGTTGCAACCAGTCTAAACAGTATTAAAAAAATGCTGCCTTCATGTCAGAAATTTAGTAATAACCCACATGTACCTCTTGTCGGAAAGTTGTGTCAGTGACAAAAGAATAAACTTTAAAACGGCATTTTAGAATCTTGTGAGTAATGAGCATTTTTCAAAATTAAGATTTTGCTTTGAAAATCTCATCGATGTTCGAATGCAGTTACTTTTGCGGAAGCACTTTTTCTTATATGAAGAGTTCGAAATCTTACACTAAATGTAGATATAGGAAGGCTTTCGCAGGTTTCGCAAGTTTTTTTGGTGTATTTTTGGTTGTTTTTCTTTTAGCATGTTTTACCTTGATAAATGACAAATACTGATCAATATGTTAACTAACACATATTGTTGTCAATATGTTAACACATATGTTTGTTTTGTATTGCACTGTTTACTTATTTTTGGCATTATTGTGGCCTGCGAATAATGCAAAAATAAGTTTGTGGTGGACCACCTTGGTTTAGTTAGAAGATGAAAACGTTTTCACTGTTCCATCTGGCTGTAACGATATGAATTATATCCCACGAGTGTGTCTAATAGATAAGGAAGGTGATTACATTTTTCTTCAGGGGAGAAAATCGATAAAACAGGGTTAGAAAGAGGGCATCGTATCGCTTCATCCGATTGTTAATTAATTTGGAGAATAAGGCGAGTTAGTTCTTCAACTCGTTTCTTCTAGAATCTAGCATACTCGTCTATACTTGACTTCATGGTAGTATTTTTCTTTAAAAATCCCATAGCCTACTCCACAAGTTGTTTTATTATACTTTATTTTTAAATTTTTTGAAGGCAAGCAGTTTATTTTAACGCAATTAAATATATTATTAACACATGTCATGGTTTACAAACATTATCAGCAACATATCAATCAAATGCTAAAATCAATGTAATTCCATATATCTCTTCACACTACATTTGGCCATGAAAATGACACAAAAAGCACCAAACTCACAACCTATGTCAAATAAAATAGAAAGTAATTTTATTCTATAATTTGTATTCTATTCTTTAAACAAAGATTAAAAATAGTTTACATTACATTGTTTTTGAGATTATATTGATTATTGCCCCAACGTCGGAATAACTTTGAAATGAGAAAAAATATCAATTTTTATGCTTTTTATCTGGTGGCCAATACATTGTACTTTGTTAAAAATTGATTAAGATTTTGGGAGGTGACTCGTTCTCCAAGCTGGCAGCTTGTGCAGAAAAACAATATTATAAATTAACAATATTCAACGAGCAGAAACTGAAAAATTAAATATTAACTCGTGTACGACTCGAAGACGATGCAAAGTTTTATGATAGATAGAAACATTTGTTTTATTTGGAAATCCATTAAAGATTTACTTCGTGTGTTCAATGAAGCACTTTAGAAACGATGATCACTCAAGTTTTCCGTTATTTGCTAAAATTGTTATATTTTCTTCTATAGGAAATTGAGTGAGAAAATATTTTGGCAGAGAAAACTATCTAGCTATCAAAACATAGCAATATTGAAGAAAATGATTTTTGAACTTTAGAAATTAACAATGTCGCAGTTAGAAACAATAAAAATGAACTCAATATTAGCCACCTGTAAGCGATTAGAAGAAGCGATTTTAAATCTTAATATAATTATAAAAAAAAAACGAGACAAGAATGACAACGAAGAAAAGACGACGGGCCTAAGAAGTTATATAACCCTGGCTGAGAACGGTAAAGGTTTAAAAATTGAGTCAAATGTGCATGATGGTAATACATGATACTCCCTTTATTGTATGTTGCAGCTTTCTTCTTCTTCTTCTGTCTCCTCGGTTGCATAATTTCTGACGTAGCTTGACGCTTGTTGATACATGTAGTTCAAGTCACGTGCAGTTTGCGTCAGAATATCTACTTCAACGTTACCAGATTTTTGTATCTGCGAGTCTGTGCTTGTGGAACTTTTTGCCTGACTACTATAAGGTCTCGTCCCTTGTATACTGTGACTATTACCCTTCTTATTTTGATATTGTGAAGATGGTGCAGCTGGAATTCCCTGTTGACGATGAAGTGGTAATTTCATTGAAGATTTTTCAATGTCTTTTGCAGTTTCTACTGACTCACCCGCCAGTTCTTTGTCTCGTATGTTAGCATGTTTGAGCTTTTCAATCGCTTCCAGTAAATTGCTTTTGGCTTCTCCAGAAGGCAAGTTGGCTAAGTAACTTTGTGGCATGATTTCTGCAACCCTAAAAAATGAAGGTTTGAATACAACATTATCATTGTTATTATACCTTTGGTATCTTTGGTATTAATAGTGAAATAGTTTTATTTGGTTTCTTTCATACAATGGTCAGTAGCCATTGCTGTATGGTGTAAACAGCAGTTGCTTTTCTTAGGTTTCCTAATGCCAAAAAACTAAAAAGATTCTAATTTTTAAATCTACCGTTTATACATAGCTGAGAGGCAAGAATTTGGTTGTGATCACCTAAGTCAAACGCTAGGCAGCCGACGTGCAAAAATTGATAATTTTCCGACGATTACAGCCTGCACCTCTACCGCTAATAAATCAAATCGAAACATTCGGAGCACTCAAATAAATTTGAAATATTCCACAGTAGTTATAAATTATTAACTTTGTATAAGGCAACAACGTTGTTATCATGAGGCTAAAACTGACCATCTTTACTTTTCCAAAAACATTTAGAGAAGGTATATCTAAAGACAGAAATATATAGAGACTTCTACAATCGGACACGAGTGTGGACTGTCACACAAAACATATGTTGTTGGTTAAGCGATAGCTTAAACACATCGGTAGTAAAAATTTTCGTTGCGCACTTTTCCGTCCTTGGGCTGAATACAACGTAGAACGTACCCTCGGAAATTTAAATAAAAAGTAGAATGGACTAGAATAAAAAGCAATAAATCCATTGGTTTAGTAGTTCAAGAAAAGTGATTCTTTGTTTCAAAAACTGAACAACAACAATTTATCAAATGATCCACTGGTTTGTGATGTGTCTACAATACGTAAGATAATTCATCCATAAAGGCTTTATTCCCTCTGATATTATAATAATCGATTTATCAACTTTAGGAATAATCTTACATTTCTGGCGTGACTGAAGACACAGTGACGATATAGCTATTGTCGGATAAAACAAATCTATTAAACGTAACCCATTCCGGTGACGTCATAGAGAACGACGCTGAACTTAATCTGGCAACGTGTCGATCTCTGACGATCAGGTAATTGCCACTCCCGTCAACGTCTTTTGCCACCTGTTAAAACAAGATTTATGTGTCTACAATTTCAATGCTTTACAGTTGTAAAAATTTAAATGTATTTTTTAATTTTCGACAAAAGTCGAAGAGGATTATTGAAAAATATCATTCTCTGACGAATTGTGCACAATATCTTATTCAAAGTTTTCTATATATATAATAGTTAATAGGCCTACATTCTGAAAATTTTGATAACCTTCACTATTTACGTACGCTTTGATTGCATTTGCCGTGTGAAAATTATAAATCGGTTTGCTGCAAAATTACACATTAGTTATAAAAAAACTATTCCAACTGTGTATTTGTATCATCCTCAAAATTTGCAATTTAATTTTATAGCAAACCTGCATAAAAAATCCTGCGAGCAAAGCTTTTTTCACGCTTATTTCCATTTCTTTGTTATCTGTGAGTCGAGGACTCATAGGGAGTTCAAGTCGTTCCATGACTTGAGCAATGTTGGCACGAACTTGAGTCGCCAGTTTTAATGATGAATATCTCAAAAAATTATCTTTACACCATTGTTCTGACTCTTTATCTGTGAAATGTTAGAATTACAAAATTTGTTTCTGTAGCTGACTTATATAGAGTTCTGGTCTGCACATTAACTCACGGACAATGTGATTGTTATATAGCAAGGGTAGGCAAGATTTTTGAACTAGGGGCCAACAATTTTGCCTACCTAGACTGGCGGGCCATGTGAGTGACGGAAAAAGTTACATTTTATGAACAATATTTACAGTGTTACAAAAGCAAAAGTGGAAAACAATAATAAGCCTTGTGCCCAAACTAAATTTACCGCAATCTCAACCAATTCCTTGAGTTATTTTTAGTCCGGTTGTGGCAGCATCAGGCGGGCCCGATTGAATTACCCAACGGGCCGGATTTGGCCCGCGGGCCGTACTTTGCCCATATCTGTTATATAGACTCACAGCTTCCCAGAATTTATCCCTGAAACGTAACTTAAAAGTACAATGACTATTGTTTTTTTTTTTTAATTCATCCACCTTCATTTTACGTTTACTCAAACGTCCACGCAACTCAGATCACCATACGCGACAAATTTCAGTATGGGACATTCTTTGAGGCACAAGCTCATATTCCGAGACGCGTTTACTTAGTTGGGTTCCGTGGTATACCATAGCAACTAACGGATCCGCCAGCTCAAAATGCTTATTCCATAGCCAGGTATACCTACTTGCTATAAAGGCATCATAAATATTGAGTAAGGTAAAATGATCTCCAGATGAATGCGTCATCATCTTTCGTCGTTTTTCTATCTTAGTTTGCATTCCATCTTGTACAACGAAGAAATCGGGCACAACGAGCATTGAAACAATGGACAGCATTTCCTAAATACATTTGTCGAGCTATTAAAAATAAAGGACAACGAAGAACATAATTTTGGAAAAGTTCATAAAACTTTATTTACGCAAATATACATTACACCGAAGTTTTTGCGATAAAATAAATTGCACATAACAAAGTATATCTATGCTCTGAACCTTTACTGTGCAATACATTTCGACCTCTATTTAGCGTTCAAATGATAAAAAATTTAAAAGAAAATCGGAGACTTACATAATTGCTCCTAATAAAGCAGCAGCTCAAGTTGAATGATACAGATGACGATAGATTGTATTTTACCTATAGTCGTACATACCTCTGAACATAATTCCCCACAACTGGCAATCACACATTTTGCTAGTTGCAAACTTAAAGGAAATTCGCTCATTACTGCACCGAGATCTGACAGATTGCCGTTGTCATCAAGAGCACCATGATAATCTAAATCTTCTAATGCTTGCATGTATGCTTCCGGACCTAAAATATATGAATAGAGTAAGTTTTTAATATATTATTCCCCATTCTAGTGTTGACTATCAGATCAAAGAATAAAATTCAGTTGTGGGATTCAGAATTTGGAGAACAGGTTCTATTTTGTATCGAACACACTAACAACAGGTTCTCTCATTTCAGAAAATGTATGTATGTCACTATACAAGCTACATTATTAACATGAAACGCTTCTTACAAATATAATACATAATATTCGAAACGTCGAATATAACGCTATTCGTCAACTGCAGTACAAGGCACACATTGCAGCGGTCGTCTAACTATAAAAACCATAAAACAATAATGGGTTCGCTGATATCACGACATTGTAAGAACGTGGACCCCCTGACTCCCACCACTCATATACCATCGTCACCTTTTACCCGAAAAACGAGGAATTTAATTGTCGACATGAAATGTATGATCTCGGTTCAGATACCGGTGGATTTTATCATTGATGTTCAATTTGAAAATTCTTCCTAGGTATCAGCGGTAAAAAGCAATGTTTATTTTTAAATTAACTATATATACCCAATTCGAAATACCTGGAGGGTCTAATGTGTGACAACTTGAGAATGCAACATCCAGTCTCTGCAGAAGTCTCTTCATTAGTAATATATTTGTTGAAAGCTCACTTCGAACAACGGCGGGTAGAGGAAATTCTTCAAATTTCTATAAAGAATAACACGACTTTCTAATTTATTTTACTGGATATTGGGCGGAATTAACTGTCATATCTAAATTTTGTTTAAATTGACTTGAACAATATATATACAATTATCAACTAGTTCTTGATAAGAAAAGGAATTATACTATATGCCAAATTGGTCGATAGCTATTTGATTGAATAAGTACTGGAACTGTTTTACGGGTAACGAAGAAAAATGTGATAAAAATTAACGCATTGTTATAGTTGATTGAAAGGAAACTTGCCCAGGGCAATACTGTTAGTTTGAAAGAGCTTGAAGAACTCCCCGTCTTTTGCTTAGAAACTATCAATTCGAAATTACATTTATTATAACATGCTACCAATTACACCATCGATTGTTGTATTTACCTTGAACTCGGCTTCTGTGTAAAGTCTATAAACCTCTCCAGTTTTGGCACAACGACTTGTTCGCATATTGACATTTAATTTCGTAGTGTACGTTAAAAAGTCAGAATGTGCACGAATACGACAATTGTATAACTGAAAGTGATACAAAAATGTTTATGAAATAATTACAGTAGCTTTGAAATTTTGGAATAGACTGAATATCTCACTTTCAAAAGTTGTTCAGTATTTTGCTCTATCCAGTGGTAGTCTAGACTAGATGGCTGTTGCATTTAGGTTATATTCAATAAGGTTCACTTAGCAAATTATATACTGTATTTGCAAGATAATAGAAATTTTCAAGCTCAAAATAGTTATGTATCGTTATCTCAATTGGCCAATGCACGAATGTATGTATGGTTCACAAGTGTTCACAATATGTAATATCGGCCCCGCAGAAATCAAATAAAACTTGAAAAAACAAATGGCCTCCTAGCGATTTTCTACAACTTTAAGAACAAAAAATTTGAATTGGGTTATTCATTGGTCTATAAAATTGGTCTATAAGAAAACTAAAAAAATTGACATAAAGTTCTAACCTTCGAGTTCAATCTACCGGAATCGACCACAACTGAAATGTTTGACATTGAGAAAGATGATTCTGCTATCGAATCACAAACTATTAATTTACGCGGTCGAAGGCCATTCTCGTTGCTAATTGATGTATTTTCAGATTTCTCATATACTTTCTGTAAATCATAACATTAAGTTCACTTCTAAAATTTATAAAAAATGTTTAAATGAGATGTGACATAAAAAAAATAGAAACTGGAACACGGGACAGAACTAGAACAAAAAAGCAAAAGTCTGCTCAGGACAAAAACAATTCCAAAAATTCAGACCAAGAAGGTAAGAATATGTCCGAATCAAAAAGAAGAAACAGAAGATTCAGCAAAAAGACAAGCGTAACTCCCATACTTTTACACTGATTGTTTAAATATGCATGTACCGGTAACTGCTTTTCTTGTTATAGTTGAACTATGTATGTCTGAAGAAATCTGACCTTGGTCAGACGAAACGTTACAGAAATATATTTGTGTTAGTGTGCAGCAAGACTCTTGAATCACTTGGAATACGGGAAATGAGTTTTTAACTCACTAGAGTTAGAAATAATCTTTTTGATGACATTTATAAATCTTAACCAACGTACTTTTTAGGTCATTCGACCTTCTAGAAATTGCTAAGGTTAGGGACATGACTGAACCAAACTACTTCGAGTCGATTGGTGAAAACACATTATTGATCCCTTTCTCTTCATTGGTATGTGCAATGTTTGTCAATTTAATAAGCTATATCTATTTATAAGTTGTAATTAACGGCATTGAAACTCCTTTTCCAATTTTGAATTCGGCTCTATTCAACTAGATTATATGCGTTAGAAGTTATCATACAATACCTGCTGAAATCCGTAAGGTAACTCGTGATATAAAGCTGCAACTACCAAATCTCCAGCTTCGCATCTGAGAGCTCTCATAGCTACTTCTCTTGCAACTCGTTCACAAATTTCATCAATTTCCTGCAAAACAATTATTAAATAAATGATCAAAATATATTTGAAAATGGGCAATTCATAAAATATTATTCAAATCGCACCCGATGGCGCACGGGAAATAAGGAAAACTCTCCCTCGCTGTTTCCCAAGTATATTTACCTTTTTGCCCGGCATGAACACCAGTATATTTCCTTCAATATTTTGATCACAATGACATTTCATTATTATCTCAACAGCATCAGATACAAAGTCACTTCCAAGAATATTCATCAGCTTGTAATGAATTTTGCATGATTGTTCTGTCTTCTCAACTATTTTGGTTGGTTCTTGGTCGTTCTGAGAAAGATAGTATGATACCATAAGCTTTAATATACAGTATACAATGCTTATGCGGAAAATTATGTATCGAATTAAAAAATTCTCATGCCGTTTTTATTGCACAAAACTAGCTACAGGGTAGCCTACATCCACCCCACCTACTTCAGTCATTCAGCTTACAATATATATCTACCATAACTCAAAACATTGAGACAAATGAGGGATAGTGTGGCAAGTGCGTAATAGGGAACAAGAGAGATACGATATTTTGAGACACCATAAATTACTTACTTTTACGGAGTCATTTTGATCATCATTTTCCTCCATAAAAGTCAAGTCGACGATGGGCACTCCTTCAAAATATTCCTCGAGTTTTGGCATTGCGTGGGATTGGCTAATCACTACAATTTTCAGTGTATCACGATGACAAGATATGATTCTGAAATTGCCAGAAGGAAAAGGAAAATATTGAATCGTACGGATCAAATTAATAGTAAGACTAGTAAATAGCAAGAAGTATACGTTACAAAATTGCATATGATAAGAAATAGCTAACTTCAATAAAGACAAGAGTACATCCGTTGAAACTGTTCTCTCCTGCACTTCATCTAGTATGATAATACCGTATCGTTCAAGCAAGGGATCTTCTGTCATTTCTCGCAGGAGAACCTCGTCAGTGCAGAATCTAAAAAAAGATATTGTAATTAAAATGTTGAATCCCCCAGTGGTCAACGACTACTTCAGGGTAATAAATACAAATTTACTACATGTCAAATCGGCCAGCTTCCTGTCGTTCCCAATTAAAAATCCCCAACTAATAAGCTTCAAACAATTCAAAGTTATAAATGAAATACTTCAAAAATGTTTCATCCGAAGTGCAATCCGAGAAGGGTACTTTGTATCCAACTTCATTTCCGATACTGGTAAGATCCATTTCTCGTGATACCTTGAAAAACAATAGATTAATAGGTAAATATGACTTATATTATTATACAAACAATACCAATTACGAGAAGTCTCACCTGCATTGACAATGAGATAGCAGCTAGAGCATGTGGTTGAGTACAGACTACTGTACCAAACTGGAATCTCAACTCTTTCGCAAAATAGGCGCACCATTGTGGAATCTAAAGAGATGTTAAATTCCACAGATATCATAAATTAAAATGAGGTTTTGTGATTTAGCCATTTGACAAATATAAACGGTAATAGTATACGTCATTTCTAAGCGTGGCAGGGTCGAAACAGAAGTTACCACTTGACAAGTATGATCAACCTTGTAGTGGTGCGTTTTTTCAGCATAGCATACATGATATACTTAGCTTTAATGTATGGAGAAATAATTCGAATGAAAAGCGAAATAGATTCTGTGGAAATGTTATGTTTGTATTCCGCCCATTTTGTACACTATAAAAAGAATGCGTGCATTTTCTTTGAACTTACAGTAGCTATTTTGCCACAATATTTTGATAAAATGATGACCTAGAAAAGTGCAAACAAGATATTTGATTTACAAGAACAAAGCAGGTACCTGTTTGTTTAATCTGATATTTCTATTTGTTTTTTGTCAACAAATACAATATACAAAAAGATCTACCTGAGTGCTCTTGCCGCTCCCCGCTTTACCAGTTACAAGAACTATCGGACTTTCATCAACGCTCAAAACAAAATCGTCTTTGGCTTTCCATATCGATAGTTGTTGGCGTTCAGACAGTAATTCGTAATATTGTGATGAATATGACAACCCGTCCCAGGGATTTCGTTCCAAATCTGGGGCAGCCCCAGTTTCTCCATCGTCTGAAAAAGATGAATTTAAAAATATTTGTCTGTAAATATTTCGTACATAGGTAAAATAAGGATGGTGCACGGAATGTTATCGCGATAGACATGTACTGACAGAATAAATTCATATATTTCGATTGTCGGTATATACACAGGGCCGGCCGAGGACACTGCAACCTTTATGCGGCAGCAGAGGTTGCTGCACTTCCCTCGGCCCCGCTACTTCTAGGTGCTAGCTACACTGCTCTCTCATTCTTTTATTATCATGATATTTTTAATGTGGCAAATAGTTAGGGTTACCAAATTTTATTGGACTTCAAAGCGGGACGCCTCCAAAGACACGACCCCTTAGCTGTGATCCTGTAACTTTATAGTTTCCGATTTTACTACATAGGCCTACATTCAAAGCCATCCCGGCTGTCTTCACTGACCATATTGTCATCGAGAGTTCATGCGCATATTCTCTGTCTAAATATCGGGATCAGTCGAAAAATAGAAAGGAATAGACGCTAACGATACAAATGATCCGAATTTGGAATTTTTTTATGTACAGCAAAAGGAATGAAGAATAATGAAATAGACTGCCGTTTTCAAGCAATGAAAATTTACTTATTCCTTAAGCATGCTTTTCTGTAGATAATACCTTCAAAAAGACGTTGCTCAATGTTACATTCACGTGAATGTCCGAACAGGACCAATTAGAATTGATTTTACATGTGATACGTTCGCTAACAATGTTAGCGGGAAACAACGAAACAAACAAAATCACGCATTCACCTCCAATAAGTAGGCTAGCGTTGCGCTACACAGCAACAGCATTAACAAGAACATGTTCGTGTATTATGCTGGATGGCTGAACGCAAAAGCGGGACTTTTGACTGACTTGTCGGGACGGCGAGACCAGACGCTAAAAAGCGGGACTGTCCCGCCTAAAGCGGAACGTATGGTAAGCCTACAAATAGTGAAAGCAGCTTTTCGCGCCTCCAACTTATCAAGAATTACTTGATGTCGAAAATTCACGAGGATTGGCATATGCATATATAATTCTCCCTGCAAGTACATTACAGAGTTTTCAAGACATTCGACCAAGTTTCTATGTAATACCTAAATCCACTTCGTTGTCGTCTTCGTCATTTAATCCAATTGTATCTATCCCGCGAAACTTTTCCTCGGCCGACTGGTTGTTTTCGTCATCGGATAGTTCCAAATATTCATTTGCGTATTCGGTATGAAAACGATTCGTTTCTTCGGACGTTAATTTTTCATTTCCTAGACGAATAGAAAACATTGTAAGTATAAGAACTTGTTTCCAACCAAATAGAAGGATTAAATCATCGAATCGTGCCTATATTGAAGTACTGTAGCGTGTCTCGGTGAGGTAGTGGTAGTTTTTATTTAAAACAATAAAATTAGTCGAGTTACGAGTCCGTGATTTACAATATCTGATTGTAGCAAAGTTAAATCAGCGCACTCACTATTATACCAATGTTTAGGAAAATTATTTCATTATTCCAGTCATGAAAACTTCGCATTATTATGGAGGGGATTCGGTTGAAGGTATTTGAATTTAGCATTCCATGTGGTTATTAACGTTAATAAAACCCGAGATAAACGTGGATTCTGTATGAGATAATACATTTCGGACATTTGCAAGACAATTCCTAAAATGAAATTTTCTTGGTTGCTTCTAGTTTGCCATTCTCATTTATCACCAAGTTCATGACCCTAGCTACATAATTATTTAGTATTAAACCAGCGTAACTCGTTTGTTTTATTCAGTAACACTGTTTGATACACATAGTCGAAACAAGGGTAATGAAGCATGTTTGAACAAACACTTGACTTCGCTAGCTAACACTGTTTTACTGTGATAAGCGAGCACTTATTAATATCGATTATTAACGATTTGCACTGTTATGGAGGATATACGTCTTATATATATAAATGTATGTAAATTTCGTGTGCCTGGTACCACATCTTTTAATAACGATGACCGACACCTACTGGCGCCATCCATATATGACGCTTATATCCACTATTTTCCGTACAAATTTGCTCCTCTGAAGTCCGCATTAGCCTACTGTAGTATGGATCAGAAGTATAATAAAATCTTTATACAAGCATCTAGATTGATTTAACGGTTGAAATGCACAGTCCCCATTCGTGATTTCTCAATCACCAAGTATGGTGACCGTACATTTGAACCCATGTACTTGAACCCATGCGTATATCAACGAGTTCAATCTATATGCGGGTGCTAAAACCCATGGGTTAGGAACTTAGGGTTAGTATGGGTTTACAACTACCCCGTTGAAACAAAAAAAAATCCATAGGTGGCAATAGCATACAGGTGCAATTGTCATGGGTTCAAATGTACGTGGGTTCAAATGTAATGGAACCACCAAGTATATAAGTAGCCAGTACACAATAACTTTAAATGCTGTATTTTACTACTGTCTAAAATTTGATAGTTATATACAAAACAGCCGAGTAGGTCAATAGGCAGACGTTAAAAAAGTTGGCTATAGTCGTCGAAATTTAAATAAAAACGAGATTCTTACCGGCGTCTTGATCCTCTTGAACTGCACCTTCATCGAGTGACCAATTTTGCAGTTTTTCGACAACCTTATCATCTTGATAGTCCATGTTTCACTCGACCGTTTGAATTTCTCAGCACAAAATATTTCTCCATGAAAATGATATTTTAAAGGTGTAATGCGCTGCTATGTCTATCTAGCATATAAGCTCAATACCGAATGAAATAGAATGAAGCAATAAAACGAGTGTGACAACCCAAGCGTAAATATATATTGTATTTTTATCAATCTTTCCTAACGGATTAATACGATAATGGATCCTGCTGATGCGCACTCTGTCCGTTACATGTCTGTCTTAAAGTATCAATTATACTGAACAGGTGTCAGGGCGAATTTATCTTCTAATTTTTGTAGGCTTCTAATTTATATCAGATATGCCACTGAACTTTTTTTCTAATATAATGAGTGATATTTGTTTTAGAGATCTTATATCATGTTCCACTAACACGTAAATTTATGGTGAATAACATAATGGGACGTATGCCCTAACTACTGTAATTACCTAAATTATGGAAATCATCCCCAATAAGTCATAATAAACAGATAACACATGAAGAATCCTACATAGGGTAATTACTAGTTACTGCTGCCATTCGCTATCTGTAATGCAAAAATTCGCTATATCACATCCATAACAGAGGTAGCGCTACATGATGCTGACTGAATAGCGTGTTATAAACCCATTCAGAAATTGTAATATGTGCTCGTCAGAACGAGAACAAACAATGGTCCAGGATATAAAGAAACACTCCTAAGTTTTTTATTCGTTTCGTACGTGAACAAAGTAAACTGGCGGTACTCAGACACAAAAGAGTTTTCTTTTGTAAATAAACCGAAGTGGCTTTGTTTCAGGCGTTTCAGGGTTGCCAGATCTTAACGTACACAACTTTACCCAAACTTGCGTAAATACAAGAACCACTAATTTTTTTATAAAATTTTCACATTGAAAGGGACTCTTGTTATTTATTTTTAATTTAAATTAAAAAATTTGTCGATTTTAATCGTAATGGCCTGCGAAAGTGAATTAATTAATACCAACTGCTTCTAGACCAGAGTCTAAGTTTATTCGCTCGTAAAAAAATAATAGTGTTAGTCGCTCAATTGGTGCAATGACATTAAACAACATGATGCGCAACTCCGGCATTTTTGTCCGAAGATCGTATTCGATAGCACGCTCCAATGCACATACTTGACGAGGACGAAAACGAGCGGATGTGTGCTGCTTTCAAGGCGTAGCACGAATGGTGTTCGTGCCTGCTTTGACAGGTTGTTGTCGATTTTAATGATATTTTTGAAAAGTTGGGGTAAAAAAGAAATCGGGTAAAAAAGGTAAGGTGAATACATTGTGTATATCACACCCGGGCATCGCACTGTTAAGTACATGTGGGGAAAGCCAGCCTTTGTCAAATACTACGAAGTTATTAATTCAGTACGGTACGTAGTTGCCCATTTTGCCGAAATTACATATTTACTTACCCCTTATGGTTTCAAATAGTTCATGCACCTCCAGTTAGATTTTTTTAATTCAGTGAGGATATATACTCATTGTTGATTGCTGCTCATTGTAACATACTATTACGCATTCACTTTTATTTGCGTATTGGAATCAAAGTGTTAACAAGTTCACCTAACATTTCACTCATACCGGTCTATATTGTATAGTCTGATTTCTCAAGTATTTGGCAGCCACGAATGCTTGTAATTTTCTGACTAAACCCTTTTATTAGTTGGTTTATATACCAAATTCAGTTAAAATATTTTTTAAAATAAAACATGAGATATTGGATTTATTAGCTTTTCCATTCTGAATCATATAGACTGCTTTATTTATTCTTAACGAAATTAATAAATCTCCTCTCTTTCTTCAGATGTGAAAGTTGTGGACAAACCTGTCTAAGCATTGTGAGACTCTTGCAGCACAAGAGGCCAATAGCAGAAATAGTAAGTATATCAATCAAGAAATTAAGCCGACATAAAGCAAAACTTTCAACTATTCGTCTAATCTCAATTTCCTATTATTTGTTCACAGGACAACTATAGCAGACGGGGAGATATCAGAAGTCTGGCGACATATCAGTGACAGTGTGATTCAAGAAATATAATGCAATTGAAAATAGAAATTTGCAATAACAACCTATGGAGGCATGCAAAGGCATTTGACCCTCCGGTAGAGTTGTGTATGGCCCCCACATCCTGCAGGGCTTGAGGAAAATAACTAAAAATTCCAAAGCGTAAGATTGCATAAGCGGTCTTATTTGTAAAAAGCACAAAACACGCCAGACATACTTAAAAACAGCTTTGGAAATGAGGATTACGAGTTACCTCACTGCACCTGTGTTATATTTGGTTCATCAACTTTTGGTAGTACTATAGAAGAAATTCCGGAAGGGGTATAATCATCATTCATGATAAAATACTATCATATATTTTTTGAACAACTTCAATCTAGACCAGGGATCTCAAACTCGCGGCCCAGAGAACTTCCAGTGCGGCCCGTCGAACGCTTAACATAGTAATAGTATTTTGGAAGTTTTTTTTTATCTAAATGTAATAGATTTTCAAACCTTCTAAAGTGAAATTGATTATTCACACAGAAAACAATTTACTGAAAGTTAGTTTTGGAATATTAATTTTTTTTGTCCACATTTTGACCCAATTAAGAATACACATCAAGCTAGCAAAAGAATACTTGAATAAAACACTTGAGTAATTAAATTAAACGCAAAGTACATGAAGAAGGTGGCATTTTCGAAGAAAATGGAGTTGTAACATTTCTGCTCTTCACAAAAATCTGAAGCACATTGTTTAATTTGTCATATTTCCATCAATACAATCAAAAACACAATAAGCTCAGCAGTCAATATGACAAATTCGAAGACCAACTTCGAACAGAAAATTTCCATGTGTTTGTATATTAATATAATTTATACAACGACTTAGTTACTAAAAATCAATATCAATAATAATTCAAGCAATCCTATGCACGCAATGTAGTGCGAAATGTCTTGTCGAAAAAATCTGTCATTTGTTTTTTACTGATCTATACATGAAATGATAAAAGTAACTTTTTTGCATTACTGGAATTAATTAAACATTCGTAAAGATCCAGATAAACCCATGATCATGTGGCCCTCGTTAGTTAGAGTTGGTACTATAAAATCATTTCAGACTGACCTTAGTATGCTGGTGACACAAAAAGATGCCAAACGCCAGGACAAATGTAATTATTAAAACAGTGTGAGTTATACTGTGTATTTTTGTTAATTTTAGGTCATATATATTTAGATTAAGTTAGTTTTAGTGTATGCTATTATTCTTTCTTATTTCAAGTTGTTCAAAAATGATTTTGAATGGTGTACATAGAATTTTACGATTTTTTTATAATAATACTGTAACTTGCAAAGTTCGCAAAAAGTGGAAGCAAATATTAATATGTAATTGGCATTTTGAAATTGGTGAAGAAAATAATAAAACTTAATTCAACTGTTTAGTTGCATCACAATTATGTCACAAACTAAAACTATCTTAAATATATCTTTTAAGTATACATTATCAAAAACTGTTTGCGGCTCTTTTTACAATTTTCAAAATGCAATGCGGCTCTCGAAAACCCATGAGTTTGACACCACTGATCTATTCTAGACGATTCAAGCATTGCTTTGGGAAATTATATCACTTCAATTAAATTGAAATAATCTCGCTATATTAAATACAAAATCGTTGCTATCATAAAGGTAAACCAATTCAGCCACTCGAAATATATTGGCCTTCACAAAGCAATGGAGGCAAAATTGAGAGTTCATGAGCTATGAACATTTGTTCTTTTCTTTGTCTTGAACTTTCCATACTCCACAGCCCCTATTAATTTTTTTTAATTTTAATTACCATGTGATGGTCATACATATCTTTAACTTGTATTTTCTGTCATGATGTATTATCTCAATGTGACAAACTATTAATTAGTGTGCATATTTTGCTTCCAGATGACATAAATGTATTGTCATGTTTATTACCTCAGCTTGGAGTATTGACAAGAAAAGGTGCCAGTAAATTAGGTAAAAAAATTTTCAACTCATTGTTATAATCAGAATTCACAATCAATAGGAATTATAAACAGCCAACAATCAGTGAGAATTATATGCGAAATCCCTCAGAATAAATTTGTCTAAAATCGGAGGAAGGCAAAAAATATAGGTAGTTTCCATCCACACAAGCATTTCAAGAAGACTTGCTCGAGCCAAACTAAATGAGCATCGTCAGGTGATCGGTAAGGCTGCAGGTTGAATTCAGCCCTGCAACCTCCTGCATAGAAGATAATATTAATTAGTGGGCTATGAGCTAAATTCCTAAATTTAAACAAACCTATCTACGATGCATTATGTACCAGCAATGTTACCTACGATTAACTGAATATGTAATATGTCTAATAAATTCACCTACAAAAGCAAGTTCGATAGGTGCAAACTTTGTGTTATGGAATTGTATCGCAGCACAGTTTTGTATGACACCCTCTTTAAATGAAATTTCAATGATTAAGCGCAAACATTAAAATTACTAACTTTGAACTTTGTCATTATCTGCAAAATGTTCCACACAAATCTTTCCGCTATCGCGTTTGTAATCTTCTCTGATAAAAAAAAAGTCTATGATGTCCAGAATTGCTCTTTACAGCTTGCCTGTTATTCCAGCTTTCCAAGTAAGCAAAACTTCTTAGATATAGAGATTATTTTGTTTCGTTACAGACGCAAAAAGGCAGGTACTACACGTGAAAAAGACGCCGAGTAGCAAAAGCGAGCGGAAAACGGACGCGAAAGGCGACGAGAAATATGTGCATTGGAGCGTATCATGAAATACAATGTTTTGCCTGTAGTCTTATGGAGTGACGTCAGAGTTGCCTATCATGTTGTTTAATGTCATTGATTGGTGTAGCTGTCTATCATCAACAAGGGCCAAACTGGTACATAGTTGTTTTATAATTTACACCAATTGTTTCCAATAGAATATCTACTCAATGAGCTGACGCAAATTTGTATGCGAAGGTAACAAGCGTGAAATTCAATGACTAGGTTGTTTTTGCATTTCCTTTGCAATCTTCTTGAATCATGGCTCCACGGCGCTCAAAGCAATTCTAATACTCATGTCTACACTCTTAAACAACTTCTTTTTTGTTTTTAATAAAGCAGAAAATGCTGATTTACACAAATAGGTATTGGGAAATTGAAACAAAAGTTTTAATGCTTCTTTTGCAATTGCTGTGCTCTCTTTGTGAAGAGAAATCCAAAAATATTACCCCCTTCCGTGTTTTTCGTAGGTTTCCTCCGAATTAATATCATTACGGATATCTAGGAGTCCTTCTTGCTGTTTCGCGCTTAGAAATTCATCCAAAAACGGAAAAGAAGCATAATCATTTTTTGCAACTTTACTGGCCCAGCAGTCATCAATTTTTCCTTTACGCAGAACCCCTAAAGAGCCCTATAAACTCACGGACCCCCACTGCATGTGCCGCGGAACCCCTGTTGAAGAGCACTGGTCTAGAACAAAACTGATTAGATAATCCTATACATAACCTAGTAAGCGGGAGGAGAGGACGTTATTTGTCACTAAATGACGTGCATCCCCACAAAAACAAATTGCGGTTACAGGTAGCAGTCTGTATTGGACAAGTTATAACTTCTTTGACAAGAGGCTCAAGGACGCCACGAACTCTCGCTAAATCCCCGACGGCATCGACCCCACATTTTGTTTTGTCTAAAAGTTTGTATATCACGGCTGCGGACATCATCCACTAAATATGAATTTTCATATTTTCCACCAGATAATCTGCTGATCAACACCGGCCCACGCCCTCTCGGTTCTAAAAAAAATTACAGTATTACATAGCGGAATTATTATTCTTGGATACTAAATTGTTTCCTAACAACTACTAACAATTTTATTAGTGGCATTGCACGACGACGGAATTAATCGATATCGACCCAAAGTTAAATTACAAACGCATTTGATAAGTGGTGGAATGTGTGTAGTAACTTGGAACCGCATGCCAAAACGCCATGCTCACATGATAATGTTGTGGTATAAATAACTGATTTTCGCGATCTCTCAGCTAAAGTTGCAGAATGACATTTGTGCATCATGATAAGCGCTAGGAGTACGCTTTTATTATATTCAAAATAACCCCGGGATCGCAACACTGCTCCTAACAGTCGAAGTCGATCAACTTTCACATCCACTGCATAAAGGTGAGATCGCATCACAAAAAGCTTTCAGTGGAGATAACAGCATGTTACAAACAATAGGGGAATGAGTACAATATATATTTGGGTCGACAATGGTAAAAATAACGAATATATATAACCGACAACAGTTCACGCACAGTCTTATAAATATATTGTCAAAATATGAATACTTGAGATAAATGACGAATTCGAAAACATATACAATCATGGATGACTTCTTGAATAGCAGCAGACAGACAGTTCATTGCACGAGTATGGCTATATACATTTCTTTACTTAAAACAGTAAAAGTGTTAAGGTAAATATTTAATCAGAATATTAGGGTCAAGGTCATCTCACTAAGAAGTGATTAAGTTTTTTCCTTCATATGGGCATGTGAAAAACTGTAGTGAAGACACTTTTATTATGAAAAACTAGCATGGCAAGTGGATGGTTCATTACTAATTGAAATGTTTTTGGATATCTACATAAATTATACCTACATAGAGCGAGCAAATGAACAAAACAACCTAAATTGGAAATAACAATCAACAAACAAGAACTGAATAACAATCAACAAACAAGAACTGAACATACAATGAGTTTCATAGCCTTTTTGAGGTACAGGAAAAAATTTTCAATCAAATTGCGAACACCAACAATTTGGAGTGTATGTATGGAAAGTATATAAATCATCAATCAGGCAGTGTTTATACCAAGTGGGCAGGTATGCGTGAGAAAACAATCTATGACATGTATAACGAGTCTTTTAAAATGCTAACATCAATCTCGACTTCATTTGAAATGGTATAATTTTTTTAGGAGCTCATTACAAAGTATTTCAAAGAAATAATACTTGAAAATAATATGAAAATGTATTGGCTAATCATTTCAGATATATCCCACAATTGGCAATTTAAAAAATGAGTATCTAGCAAATATATGGTGCAGATTCGATACATGCATTTCAACCATGAAATAAAGAGCAATTAAGTATTGCGAATATTGAATAGAGCATGAATAAAACAAAGATCCTATAAATTGCAGCTGAAAAGTGCTCATATTATGTCACAATAAAATCATTAAAAATATCATAAACAGTTCTAAGACCAAGTAACAACTCTAACATATTTGAAAGCTAATCTCAAGTAGGTAAATTTGAAACTTTTTAGCAAGCACTAATAGAAGTATTCAATATCAACAAAGACAATGTGGTTTCTGTGAATGGCAGGTGTCCAATGTGTGATTTCTTTACTGAAAAATATTAAACAATGTGGTATTAAAATTGAGTAGCATATCGTTTAACAATTTTTGAAACCTGCATAAAAATGTTTTCGGCATTAGATGACATAAGTGAATAATGTTTTATTGGAAAGGCCATTGAAAATTTCCATGTTGCTGGCTTTTGTAGCATAGCATCACATATTACAAATAGGTTAAGGTTTCAAGTGAAAATATTAGACAAAACTTAAATCACTCAAGTCATGAGCTGATACATCAGTGAACCAAAGCTTGAAGACTTGCTGAATGAATTCCAAAATAGCTTGTTGGGAATCGGCATATGCAATGTTACGAAATTACCTTCTTTTATATTATTTTTACTCCAATTAGGTATGTAGAAAAATCGTAACACTCGCTAAAATGGTACCTGAATTCATCAAAGATTTTCGTGACCTATTAATTATTTTAAAACAAAATTTTCATTGCAAGTATGTTCCACTGGTGTTCCAAATTGTTGAAGAAGATCGACAGCATCTTGGGTGGAATGCTTCCAACATGTGATTTCTTGTATATAATGTCCTAAAAAAGTGGTGTTGAATTAAAGTAAATATAAATGATTGGTGATTTTCAGGTTTAGTGCTCAAAAAGTTTGGGCATATCAATAAGGGTATACCAAATTTACATCATATATAAAAATTATGAACGATGGTAATGAAATAAAAAAAATTGTATCTAGCAGGTCAAAAGCGGAATTGGTCTCCAGATAGTCAGGAGAAAAGTAGGTAACAGGTTGTGTACGAGAAACGCTACTCTGAGAGAAACTCTTCTTAGAGCCTCAATAGTCCAATCTAATAATCTCAAATTTGCTATTAAACACCAACCCCAACAAGCTGTGGAGAAATAAAATACTGCGTAAACATCTGGTCAAGTCTCTTTCGTTGATCGACGAGCTCTTAGTCTTGCTCTATAATTTAGTTTCTCTTCGGAAGCTTTATTAGCTGTCTCCTCCTGTTTTCCATCAGTTATTGCTTGAATAAATTTAAACCTCTTCAGGAAAAGTTTGTAAACAATCACCCACAATATGAAAATAAATACGACAACAATCAAAGCACTTGATATTGTGAGCCCAGCAAAAAGAAGAAAATCTTGCAGCATGCTATATAAAGTTCTGAGTTTATACCCTATTGTAAATTTGTAACCTAAACTATAAATAAATGTAAATTTTAATGATGAGAGAATTAGTTTAATGGAGAAAAGAGAAGACATGGCACTTTATTGAAAATTCGAGCTGATCTTAGTCACCAGTGAGGATGGTCAGAGGTTGACATTGACATATTCATTTAGCTTGTGAATTATTTTAACGACTAAGAATAAAATTTATGACACCATTGATGAATAAATAAATTCCTGTACTGAAATTGTGTCACAACACAATTTTTTAGAATAATTTTTTTTTGCAAAAACATTTGCAACATCCAATACTGTTGTTTATACTAATATTCGCTACTAAAGTACTCGATTTATTTGTTTCAATCGAAGTACTCAAACTTATTTTTCTATTCAGCTCGTCCAACCTCAGAAGCTGACATAGAATTTCAAATCAATCTGCATCCTACTTGACAATAAATGATTCATGTTAAAAGAAGAGACTTAGTACCAGTAATTGTAACAATATCAGCTTAATTTGTCATCTTTTTCATTATCAATGTCAAAAAAGGTTTCGCCCTCATAAACTTTATTTCCAACTGGAGCAATATAATAGCCCTCAAATACTTCTTGCGGTAATTTTAATACATCTCCTTTTGTTTCCTGAGGTTCATCATCTCTCATTGGGAGAGGCACATTTTCCAAAACAGATACCAAAGGCTCAACTCCATCAGTGTCAACATGCAATATCTGGTCTGCGAAACGTATCGCACTCTCCAGTCTTTTCACAGCATTTGTGTCCTCAAAATTTACCAATGATAGTTGTTCCAAATGTCTTGCTTTTGATAATGAAATTTTTGTAGGTGGTGGAAGATCAACTTCTTCAATATGTTTCCAAACAGGTTCCTTAGGGATTAAATCAGAAGCTTTTTTTAAAACATTTCTTTTCGAAGTACAAATTTTTGTGTTGGAATGGATCCTTCTTAGTGCACTAAGAGATTTTTTTGTAAGCATTTCAGGTTCTATCTGCAACTCTGGTAAAAATATAAAAGTACACTACCTGATGAGCACCCAGACTGGATTCCATGGCAGATGCACGCCCGAGGGCGCTAGCGCTCCACAAAAATGCACGCGAGCGAATTCAATTTTGCACGCCGAAAATTTGCAATTGTTCACCAATGTAAATCGGTTTAAATAGTTTTTAAATCAATAATCTAGTAATATAAAGATGCCAAAAAATTATAACTTTACAATTGTCGACTAATACTTGCTTGCAAGATTTGGCCTGATCGAAAAATGCGAAGCAAAAATCACCATATCGTGTTGAATGATAGGAATCCCGTGAGAAAAATCGCCTCCTCACCGACGCTGGCCAGTTATGGCTCTGATTCAGCGTATTTTTAATACAATAATTTTACACGGATGTACTGAACAGTACCGGTATCTAAAGTCGCACAAACACTCTCAAAATTAGTGACAAAATATAGAAATGATGTTTTGGGGGTCAAACGTCCATTTTTGCTATGATCCAACTTATTTTTACGCGGATGTATTGAGAGGTATCTTAGTTCGAAATCAGTTTAGCGGGCGCAGTTGTTTTGCACGCCGTGAGCTATAATTGCACGCCAGAAATTCTTATTTGCACGCGGGAATTTCTGATTGCACGCCCGATTTTTCATGAGACCCGATTTTTCATGATTTTACATGAGACCCCCGGTACTTCAGTACTTATCTAAGCTCAATTAACATGTTGTCTAAGCAGACACAACAGATTTGGGATATTTACCATAGCTCAAGCTGGGAAACTAGCACCCTTTTCCTTTTACTCACATCCTCTGATGAAACGTGCACAACCTAAACTTCACCACTGATTCACGGTCCCAGGATTTGCTCTCGAGTTCGAAATAATAAAAGACAAACAAATGGGAATGGAAAGGGTTCATGTGAAAAATGGCTATCATGCAGCTCTCGGGCGCCGCATATGTATGGATGTATGTATTTTTATTCGTCTCTTATGGACCTTTCCCGACCTTTGGCCCCCGAAAAATTATTTTTTATACTTTACCATTGCAAATATTTCGGGGCTATTTTAAGAGTGTTTTTGCAAGTTGGCCCAGTAAAATGGAGTATGTGTTTCAAAACATTATCATGATTTATCGCATACAACAATCTATTTTTTCAAAAGTACCGGTAAAGAATTTTAGCCTAGTCTATCACAGCTATTTCTACACTAATTTTATATTACTGCAATTAAATTAAAACTCCTAGGAAGACAGAGTGATCATTGAATTATTCGATTTATATTTAAGTTTCCGAAACACAACAGAAAACTAACGAATAGAGTTCAAAAACGAGATAATGTTTACGACCACGCTTGAAAATCTGTCTGAGTGAGAAAATTGTCTGAGCGGATGCGAAAAGGGAGCACTGTTACGTCACTTTCTGCATCTTGCTGATTGGCCAATGTCACGAAGTAAACGAGGAATTAGATGCTCGGGGAGAGGTCCATAGTGACAAATAAATAAATTGACAATTATTATTATTTAGGACGGGATGCATGCACAAGACCTACTGGCCTAAAACACAAATGTGCGGCATGCACTCCTTTTGACAAATATAAAACAAAAAACATTAGATTAAATATGTATAATATGGTCACTTATATAGACAGTTGTGCGAAGTGGGGTGATGGGTTGGTGTGGTGAAAGTTTGCGCAGTGGCAGTATCGTAAACAATGAGGTTTATCGAGCTAGCTGTTTGATTAAAATGAACATCTGCTATTGTTATCTTCAATTGGAATACTTTGGATTGTAAGCTATTTTTGGATATTCGTTCTTGGATACTAAAAATGGATTACTCCGCAGCTCTTTATACAAGCTTACAACTACATAGACACGTATAGATATCACTGGCCCGATAAAAGATTATATACAGTTACCAGGAGAAGACAATCCCGACGAATAGATCGAATATATATTCCGTACAACATTAGTCATGAATTGAAAAACACAGAATATTTAGTAAACACCGTTTCAGACCACCACTTTGCATCACACATCACTTTCAAAAATATTAAACAAGTTAACTGGGGACGGGGAACCTGGAAAAACAATACAGCTCATTTTAGGCATGAAAAAGTCAGGTTTTTGATAAATGAGATATACAAAAAAGAAGAACAAAGAAAACACGAATATGAAATACTTGCCGACTGGTGGGACAACTTGAAGACTAAAATTAAAAAAAGCCTCCTCCAACACGGAATTAACGAAGCAAAGGTAAAGAAACAAAATGAAAGCAGGTGGAAAAATGAAATTCTAAATAGCATGAACAAGTCACCATCAAACCAAGCAATATATATGCTCATTAAAAACCTAAAACAAATGGAAAAAGAAAAAGTGATGTTTAAACAAAATACAGCAAAAATCAAAGCATTAGAACAAAACGAAAGACCAACAAAATATTTCTTTGACAAATTGAAAACTAGAAGACGTAAAACCACTATAGACAGTCTACAAAACCAAAGAAGGAAATTATTTAAAAACAAAAAACGAAATTTTGGAAGAAGCGCAAACATTCTATAAAACACTATGGACACAAACAACACCAGGTGAGGAAGATAGAATGGAAGAATACCTCAACATATATGGGGAAACTAAGCTTAGCACTGAAGAAAAGGAACAAATGGGGACCTTAGCTTCAAAAGAAGAACTTCTCGTGACCTTAAAACAAATGGATAGCTATAAAACACCGGAACCAGACGGACTATCAAAGGAATTTTACGTTGAATTTTGGAAGAATGACTTGCACCAGCTAGTAAACAATGCTATCGCTTTCGGCACCTTACCCACCAGTAGCAAAGAATCGATAGTCACCCTTATCTATAAAAAAGGAAATTCAAATCACCTATCTAACTACCGGCCCATATCTAACCTAAATGTAGATTTTAAACTGATATCAAAAATATTAGCTAACCGATTGAAACCTATCTTGAATAAATATATAATGCCAACACAGAAAAGCGCAATTCCTAAACGATCTATATTTGATAATTTACGAAACGTTCAAGGAATATGGAATTATACAACAAAATGGAACCTACCTTTATATATAATCAGTTTCGATCAGGAAAAAGCTTTTGATATGGTTAACCAACGTTTTTTATTCAAAACCATGACCAAACTAAACTTCAACAAAAATATCATTAACTTAATCAAAGAAATGTACAATCGGATATACAGCAGAATACAAATTAACGGAGCTAAAACCAATAAAATCTTTCTGACAAGAGGAATCAGACAAGGCTGTCCATTGAGCATGGCAATGTACACCTTAGCCGCTGACCCATTGGCAAGAAAAATCATCGCGAACCAAAAGATAAAAGGATTCAGCATCGGAAAATACAAAACCGTAATTGATCAATTTGCAGACGACAATACAACATACGCGCGAGACATTGAATCGATAGAACACACCTTCAACGAATTTAAGACTTACGAATTAATAACGGGACAAAAAATAAATGAGAAAAAAACTGAAATATTATGTACTAACCAAATCGCAATGCAAAAACTTAAAACCTCGCCGTACAACAAATTCATGAAACCAAATATAAAAGTTTTAGGCCAAATTATAGGACCCCAACAGACGGAAAAAACTTGGGATGAAATCCTCAAAAGACTTAGGAACACCCTGGAAGTTAATAAGCAGAGACAATTGACGTGGATAGGTAAATTCCAAATTTTAAATGCCTTGTGTATATCGCAGGTAATATACCACGCTAGAGTAGTGAATGTACCACCAATCTACATACGGAAACTGAACACACTTTTCTTTGACTTCATCTGGCACCCAGAAAGCTTTCAGCTATTGGCACAAAATAAATTAACAGCCGATTACTACAATGGAGGATTAAATGCCCCATGCATAAAAACAAAAATACAGGCATGTCTTCTGGAAAAAATAAAAACATTGAAAGCAATAACAGAACCTAAAGAGATATGGCACGCAATAGCCCTTTATGACATTGGCACGAAGATAAAGAAAATAAATCCCAAACTTTACACCAACCAGATGCCCCATGCCCTCGAAACCCCAAAGCACTGGGAAGATTGCATTCAGTTAACCGAAAAAATAGGCATAAAAGAAGAAAAATGGACAGACATTTCTTTCAAACAAATTTACCAGACGATCTTGAAATCAAACCAATCGGGAAGAAGAAAACAGGTAGAAACACAAACATGCACCAATTGGAAAGAGATTCTAAGTAAAGAAAAAGACATAAAAAAAATAATAACAAACAAGGAAAGGGTGATATCATACAGGCTGGCGCACAATGCAATACTAAATGGAACACAAAGAAAAAGAATCAATTTATATCATACAGTAAGCGGGAAAATGGCTATCACGGAGTGTAAATTCTGCTCGAAATCGGAAGACAACACGGAACACCTTATTAAAGAATGTCCTTTCACGTGGCGGATTTTGTATAAAATACAAAAATCTCTGAATCAGGCTCTGCAAACACATCACCCCTTTTTAAATGAACTACTTTGGCATAATATCTACTTAAAATAAAACCGAAAAATAATATTAATAACAGTAAATATAGTAAAAACTCAAATATACAAGGTCAAATCAATGAAGGACATGACAAACACAAAAATGAATCCCGAAGAAAGTAAAAGGATAGAAGATGGCATAGTTTCGAAAACTTTTAATAAAATGGGCTGGAGAGTAAAAAACATAGAATCACTCAGCGAAGAAATAAAACAGATAGAGAAAATTGAAAATTGGTTGGCCCAAAAAAGTGTTGCTACAAACTAATTAAAAAAAAATGATTAATTTACTGATTTTATGCTCAAAATTGAAAAAACCATCTAAAACGGAAATGACGAAATAGGAGCCTATCAATGAGAACGGCAATAGTCATCTATTGCTATAACTGACCAAGCTCCGAATGGGATACAGGAAATGACGGTTTATCCCCGATCCCGTATATTATAATCTGATCCGAATAAAAAAAAAAAAAAAAGTGGTAAGGGAGGAATATACAAAACTGTTTATACAGAGGAGTTTATAAGACAAGACAACATATATGAATAGAGACAACACCAAATACACATATGCATAACGATGAAATCAAAATTTAGACGTAAATACAGCACCTGAGCGAACACGTACTACTTCTTTTAGCAATACCTTTCCATCTATTCTAAAATCTCTACGTTTCGAACCTTACTCGAGGTTTTGTTCGCTCTCCCGATTCTATAATCAGTTACTTTTATTCTTGTTTTTATCTATCATTATCGTCTATTGCTGAATATGGAGTCGAAATAAACTTATACCTTTGAGTGGTGAGACCATATAATATGAATGGGCAAAGTATAAAAGGTAAATGTGTGGTGCATATATAGTACGTTTCACTCAAGGGTGATAGTAGAGTCTTTGATAGAATATGGCTTTTCAGCAAAAATGTGAACCATACAGATTTTGGTGAATAAAATAATAATGAACTTGAATCGTTTCAATCAACAAAAACATTATCAAATCGAATAAAGAAAAAGAAATCTAGTTAAGTCAAAAATTGCTCAAAACCAACATTACACATAAACCCTTTTTTCATAGCGGAATATTCCATTCAAATCATCGTACGTTGCGCCTTGTCAACATGACTTGATTTGCAGTCCCGCCAGTGGTCTGTTTTTGCAGATTAGTGTTTGAATAGCATCTAAGATTCATGAACAAACTCCGATTCTGAAACAGTTTATCCATAGACAGAAGGTTCTGAATCTTTATTGTGATATTGTCCGGGTTATTTACAAAATAGAAGATCTTAAGGATGGAGGTATATGGCACACTGGGCAAGAGTAGAGTTCGAACAGAATAAATCAGAGACGAACCAGGGATCGGTAGCATTACTCCTGACCAGAGAGAGACGGAATCTCGACCACAATAAATCCAACCCGATAATTTCAGAATTCAGCACAATATTTAAAGACCAAAAATGGATGATAAAGGGCAGCGCACAAAAGCGGAAATACGGAGAAGAAAAGGAAACTTTATTGAAATCAGAAGAGCGAATGAGAGAATTACTTAGACCAAGCTCTGAGCCAGCTCAGGAGAATCAAATTGAACTCAATTAATTTGACGAGTGAGAAAGAACTGTCAACTTCAAATACTTTACAAAATCATGCATCCAAATTTAATGATCCAATGCCAATCAATGAAATCCACTCCACGAAAAAAAATAAAAAACAAACAATCATCCAACCTAAAACATCTGCCAGAGCAGGCCCCCTAAATTTCGAAATAAGTGTATTTATTATTGGTGGATTCCGCAGATGGTTTCCGAGTCTCTCTGTGCCAATATTATTATGTGTTTTACTGTTGAAACCTTTACCAGCAAACAGGCAACATGCTGCTATACATTTCTTAGTAATATTGGCATTGGACAGACTTGGTGTCAACGGCCAGAATGCATTTGTATTTAAAATTTACACTGTGTTAGAAAATTTGTTTCATACTTTTACCATATTTTGTTTTTCATTTTTATTGGTTCAAAAGTTAATTAACACTTAACATTTTATTTATGTTTCTTAAATTCAGATATAAATCGATTAACTCAGACATTTTTGGCCACGGACTTCTGATTCAAATAAGTTTCATGGGCAATAAACTTTACACATGCTTGAAGATTTCATTCACACTACAGAATAAAATTGATAGATACTTCTGGAGCAGGGCTTCCCAACGTGTCCCGGGTAGACCCCAGGGATACTCAGATAAAGTGCTAATTATATTAAATGAGTACATTTCATTAAAATTGCTGCTCCTTTCATATGCTGTTGGATAAACTGAAATAAACGAAAGAGCACCTGCTAGATTAGTGCTTGGATTAGTAAGGAGCATGCATTTGGACGATAGTGTAGAAATGAGGATCCATATTAGTGACTTGACCCCACGGATCTCGATTCTTGTAAATAATAAGCAGCCACAAGTTCTCACTTTCAATTCTGTAATATATTTTACCAATAAATTTTGATATAGAAGTAAAAAATTGAATTTAATATATTTGAACCCTATTGGAGTTACGACGAAATGCTTCTTGAACATTTAACCACTGACGCTTGTTAACAGTATCAAAATGCATCAATTTTATGCAATGCAATTTTTTTTACAAATCAACATTGTGAGCACAAAAACACTAATAAATCGGGTATTCCGCACTGAGAAATTTACACGGAAAAGTCAAGAAATTAAATGAAAACAGTATGTACATAAAATAGGTAACAGAATTATTACAATTGGTCTTTTTTCAAATTATGTGGTTGTGTATTTGAAACAAAGGCAACATTATTTATAGAAACAGTACCTTCGACACTAAAAGATATCCGAGAAAAAAATGCAACAGCAATGGTAGTCTGCGTTAGGTGGAACATTACCATAACATTAATTTCTACTGTAGTACAGTATCTAAAAGGAGGGAGAAAATCATATAGGAACAACATGAGTGTACGATAAATGAAAACACCACTACATACTGACTAATATTCGGCGCGGCGGTGTGGCTCAACGGGCTAAGCGTTAGGAATACGCTCGCCACCGCACCTCTAATTACTCTGCGTGGGTTCGCAGGTTCGAATCCCATGCAGGGATGGTTATGTGCGAGAGGATTGCTGGACTCCTCGCCGTCGTTGGGTGGTTCACGTAACCGCTGGTCGGTTACGGCTTCCTCCACCACCAAGTCCATGCTTCCGAAAACAAACAATACAGTAAAACTAATCCCATACCCGACTTGGAATGATAACCGGACGAGAGGCCGTGGTTCGCCATATGGATAAGCCGTCTTATCGGCTTTCCTCTCCCCCGGGATAAATATGTAAATCCTATCCTATCCTATTTCTAATACATAATGCATTTCATCCGAGATACTACAGTCCTTCAGTGTTTGCATACTAGACTACATCTACACTGAATCTCTATAAAATCACACAGTCTTAAATGCCCTCTATATTTTAAAACATTAACTGTCGGTCTACAACTTGATTTCTCACCTCTCAATCGCTTCCAAGGCTACATTTCTTTCAACTCCTACATAACCTTTCATTGCTGCCCTTGTTCTTGTCGACTCTATTTGGACCAACTGACATCAGTAAAATTGGTTACTTTCCCTCCTTCACACAAACGGCCTAAATTTTATGTATCAAGTATGCTGTATTCTATATAGTAGTATAAGTTTGCTGAATAGTCAAGAATCGTCATTAAATTAATTATAAACTTCCCATACAAGAATGAAAATATCGTTGTTTGTGACATATCTTTCTAGGTCTAGCCTTCTATTCATGGTAAGAATTTACAAGTGTTTAATAGCTTACTCATATTTTTAACACCTTCTTAGAATGACTTAACTAATAATAACTGAAAAAGACGATGGAAAGGCTACTCAACTCAACGTGAAAGCGAGCAGTACATACGAGATTCACCCGACCACGGGAATCTACCTACAGCTGATCAAATTTTAATTGTTACGTTTGCAGAAGTCTGCCTTCATTGACCACTGTTACCAGAAAATCAGAGAATAGTAGGATATTATGTTATGGTAACACATATTTCTTGTAGTGAAAGCGTCTTTTTCGTAAAACGTGCAACTTTTGGAAATGGGAACAAAGTATTATTTGTTACTAAATTTATTTTGAGCATTTTGAAATCATTTTCAGGTAGTTCCCTTATGTGCGCTACGAAACTGAAAGATGAACGGCCTCGTCTCGCGGCCTATGATAATCTTCGCAAATAAACTTTAAATGGCAAAGATTAGGAAAAATAAGAATTGGGAACATCTATCCCTATCCTAAACTGTCTGGGCGGCTGGCGCGAAAAACCACCCTACGTGAGGATAATAATCACAAAAGAAATGCTGACTTGATTCCTGCAGAGAATACTTCTGACGATTGGTAATTTCTATTTCTCCATATTTACGCGCCAACGTGATGTATTGTCAAGTATTCAGTCATGTATCATCAAGTGTCAGTCAAGTATTCGGTCTGGGAGTTGGTTTGTTTGCTTAGTCACTGTCTGTGTGCACTTCTCTATGGATTTAAGCTTCGAGCTTAACTTCTGACTTTATATTCAAGAGTGAAGAGTCGTTTGTTCGTAATCTGGTTAACTTTCTACCGGTATGTCTGCATGTACCGGTAGCGTCGTCATTTAGTATCATGTTTTGCTATTTTGTACAGGTGTGCTCATTTATTCACCACTGGCAGACTTCAGGACATCAAGATTGCGGTAGTCTGGTAGTCCCGATACTGCAATAAGTCTAGTAAGCATTGCTGTTGTTTCTGTGTCAAATGTCAGTAAGTAGAGTAGATACTTAGAGTAGATAAAATCTATCAATTCGGCAGTGGCAAACGTTATAAATTTAATAATATGGTGTGGCAAGTAATTTTTATTCATTTATTTTTTTTCAACTACCCGTACGGTATGTAATTTATAACTTCTGTATGGTTGTGTGTGTGAGCGTGTGTGAATTATTTCCATTATTTTAGGTGAGTGAACACGTACCACTTCTTCTTGGCAAAACCTTCCATCTTGTATACATTCTGTACGTTTTAAACCTTATCTAAGGTTTTGTTTGCTCTCCTGATTTCATAATCAGTTTTTATTTATTTATTTTTACCAATCATTTTATTGTTATGCTGATTATGGAGTCGAAATAAACTTATTATTATTATTATATATTATTATTATTATAGAGTTGGATATCCAGGTACTAGTTCAGTACTTCTGTGCCGGTAGTCCAGCTAATTAGACAATCAAATATGCTTCACATATACAGCATACAAACTAGAGCCATTCTGTGATTGCATTGTCAGATTGTTAAGAGTATTTACCTGTGCTTAAATATCATATTGTTTTCATATCACTTTCCGTACTTATGTTCATCTTTTTCATTCACTTTTCAGTCGTACCCTATTCAGTATTCTGTAATTATTGTTAATTTCAATTCTAATCTCTGAATCTGGATTCTGAACAAAAAGAACCGGCTGCCAAAGTCACTAAAGTTGAGCCAGAGAACATGGCTCCTATACCAGATGTGCAGGAAAGAGTTCAAAAGCTAATTAAAGAGAATGTGGTTATGCTATTTAGCAAATCGTACTGTCCTTATTGTAAAGAGGTCAGTTTGTGTATTTTAATACTGTAATAAGCTATTTTTTCAAAAGCATTGCTAATAAAGATTGAGTGGGTCTCATGTAGTTTCGTACCTAACATACTTTTAGTGGGCGTAGCATGACAATTTTTTCACGTATCCATCCTAACCCCCACCTGACTACACCTTCCAAAAATTACGTCATTACGACGTCACAGTGACGTAATAGAGCCCTTCAAACTATACGAACTGCCATCCAAGACGTGCAAACGAGCACCCGAAATCAAACAGTTATTTCTCTCGTTTTCTCGTCGCAACGATTCCAATGGGAGAGAGATCGGTATCGTCAGTCAGTTCCTTATCGTCGGCGCCAATGCCACTTCGTTCGATCGTGCGTATATTTGGAAGCTCTATAACGTGATTGTGATGTCGCAGTGTTTTAATTTTTGGATGACGTAGTCAGATGGGGGTTAGGATTTATATATCAAAAAATTGTTACGCTACGCTCACTAGAAGTACGTTGGGTACGAAACTACATGAGACCCGATTGAGTATTACGGTATCGGTCTATCTTGGAAGGTTTTTAAGATGTGTATGAGCTATGTATTTCTCTTTTTTTTTAAATCTTTACATATCATAGCTACTAGTCTGGAAAGCACTGAAGAGAATCAGCTTTATTACTGTTAAATGCTTATAGTTTTACTAACGTTATTTGTGCTTTTAATACATCTCGATTATAAATTTCATTATCGTAGGTTATGGTTATTGATTAATAATGTTTATTTTTGTACTACAAAATTGAAAATAATTTTGTCAGAGATCAAATCTTGTCTCGTTTTTTACAATAATATAAAACCAATTTTTTGAATTCTTTTTATCCATATTGATTTTTATATTTTATTTATTTTAAATTATTATTTATACCTTTAGATAAAGAAATTATTCAATTCGTTGGGAATTAGTTTTCATGCTTTAGAACTGGATCTTGAAGGTAAATGCCTATTATACTCCATCTGCAGGATTTACTGTCAATTCAAAAATGACTGACAAAATTTTGACTGATACACCATAAGAATTTTCACTCTTGTTCGCTCTCGAACGAACCATTTGACAGCAATTAAAATAAAGTTTAAACAATTTTATATTATACACAATAATATTAGGTGGACTGTTAATAAATCTGATATAATTAACAAATTTGTTGTATGAATCACCTTCAGACGTTTATTTGGTTACATGTCGTTTAAAGTTTGTAAACACTAATAATGTATAACCTTTACATTTACATTTTTTTGGTTTTAGAAAATGGAGAAGCATTGCAGATGGCATTATTGGAATTATCTGGTCAAAAAACAGTCCCAAACACATATATAAATAGTGTACATCTCGGAGGTGCAGATGCAACAAAATCGGTATGAATGTTCTTTGTAATTGGTCATGATGACCTTCTATCTGTTCATTATTTCACATAAACCTGAATAAAAATGCTTCTACCTTAGGAGGGAAAAAATTCGTTCTACCTTGCAATTTAGGATATGGAATTAAACCCTATTTAAATATTTTCTTTATAAGTTGAGATCAGTTGTTAATCACCTACATTGAATTGTTAAAGTCCTGTGAAAATGCTCAAGGATCTGAAAAGCAGTCATAATATAATTCATACAAAATGTAATTTTGAATTTCTTTGATAGGTATTCTTATCTTAACCAATGCCTCTGAATACCTTTTACTTAGGTATTTTTAATTAAAGCATTATTTCTTTAAATTCAGGCACATTCTGAAGGAAGATTACTGTCTATGTTAAGTTCATCTTCAGAATATGATTATGATCTTGTTGTCATCGGAGGGGGATCTGGTGGGCTTGCTGCTGCAAAAGAAGCAGGAAGACTAGGAAAGAAGGTTATTGGTCATTTTATATCATTTTTGTGCTCTTAAAATGATTTTGCATGGTTTATATTTATTTTGCTATTCAATGCAAGATCGCAACCAATCTATGAAAAAGTATTGAGACAGATTACCGAGTTAACAATAATTAGAAATGTTATTATTTAGTATAGCCCAGGGGTGGGCACACCGCGGCTCGCCAGACTTTTTGTGTGGCTCTTCTCGCTAACATAAATTATTATCCTAATTTTAACTAACTTTTTACTAAAAACTTTAATGTGAACTCTTTTAATTTATTAAAAGTCGTAAAGAAGTTTTCGTCAATGATTAGGACAAATTATGTTTTAGTATGAAAATCGCTGTAGCGTTGAATTTTGAATTTAAGTCAGTCAAGTCAGCAAATCTTTCGTCACAATGGTCAATGTTTATTGATGCGTCGGCGGTATTGCAGCTTGATTGTGGTTAGTTAGTCTATCTAAGTTACTGTGCGATATGTCCTCAATTAAAAAGTACGAAGATGAAAACAGAGTTGTCAAGTCAGAATGGGAAGAAGAATACGCATTTACCAGTCAGGAGAATAAACCTTTGTGCTTAATCTGTCATAAGCTACTAAGTCAGAATAAAGTCAGCAATGTTAAACGGCACCATGAAACGAACCATGAAAACCTCTTACGAGACTACCCTCGTAAATCAGCTATAAGGAGCACAAATTAAATGAGCTCAAACTGTGCATATATTTGAGTATAGCTGCCTTGTTTATCCATTTATTGTTATTAGCCTCTTGTGTGAATTTCTTTTCTGTTCATGGTATTTCGATAATATTAATAAATTCACAAATTCTGCGGCTCTTTTAAAGTTCTGACTTGCAGCATGCGGCTCTTATACTAAAAAATTGTGCCCACCCCTGGTATAGCCTATGGAAAAATTATTTACCATAGGATAAAAATACATTGCATTTGCTTTTTTTTCTCTTTTAGATACTAGAAAATAAGAATTTAAATTATTAAGTATGGGATAGGGAAATAAGTAAGCATAGTTCCACATCTATGTTATGTTTGATAAATGGATCAATCTTTCAGTTTTTTAAAATCATATTTATACTTCAATATTTAGGTTGCGCTATGTGATTTTGTGAAGCCTAGCCCCTTGGGAACTGCTTGGGGTCTCGGTGGAACATGCGTAAATGTGGGATGTATACCAAAGAAGCTGATGCATCAAACTGCGTTGCTTGGAAACAGTCTAAAAGATGCTCAAGCATTTGGTTGGAACGTTAATGCAGAAACAGGTATAGTTTTGATAATCTTGGATTTTCAAATTTGAATAACAATGACATGTCACAGGGTTGAAGTTTGTTCACTTTTTTTTAAATATTCTTATTTTTACTTGAATGAAAATGTTAAATCAAAAAAAGCCATTTTGAAAAAAAATGTTTATATAGTGATTTTAAAAGGAAATTGAATTGTCATCTTCATGTAAATGAATCATTTCAATAAGGCTCAGATTAAACGGATGAAATTATTATTTGAGCCAATTCTGAACAATATTGTGAAATTGCTTTTTAATGTCACAAGGCACAATAGTTGATGGGGAAAAATTTATTGATTTAAAATGACCTGAATCACATCCTTCTATTGTTGCGAAATTCCTGATGAATTTCTGACGCTTTTGATTGGAACCTTTGGATGTCAAGTGTCACTTCCTGAATGTAGAGGGCAAAGTGAAAAGCATTAGATATTATGTATGCTTTGGCTAATAACTTGCGTTTATGCATGGTTACACAATGGTGGCTCTTTGATACAGTTGTTCATTTATTATTATCCCCTAGTATTAAATTTAAGTTTGTTTTGATATATAACTGATGTGGTGCACTGTGTTCTACTATTCCAGTACACGCGTTGACTGCTGAATCTGTTTTGGGGTCTGTAGCACATATTCACTATTTACAAATCTGTCCCTAATGTCTAGTTACAGTAGTTCTCAACCTTTTTCTTTTGTGGCCCACTTCTTTTGCACAAAAAATTCTGTGGCCCATTAACTTTCTCATGCAAGGAAAAAATTACAAGAAAACATTCATTTCTGCAAAAATGACACTCTCGCTTTAATAATAAGAATGAAAATTACCATGTAGTAGCAAGAAGACAGCATCATCATTCATTGCTATTACAATCAAATTCAACTATCATTCATTGCTATTACAATCAAATTCAACTAATTTATCAATAACTCCATCCTTTTTTAATAGGTTTGTGGCCCATCTGAAGATGTTCCGTGGCCCAGAAGTGGGCCATGGCCCACTGGTTAAAAACCGGTGTTCTAGTACATTCATTTATCTTTTTATTTTGAATTACATTATTGTCATATTACTAAAAATGAGACTTTGATGTACTTCGAGTTATGTAAATCAATTACACAATGTTTTTTCTTTTTATGCTTATGGGATGATTTGTAGAACTTGATTGAAAAAATCATAATTTGCGTTATTAATTCTCCATTTTCTTCTACAGTACAACACGATTGGGCAAATTTAGTCGAAGGAGTACAAAACTATATTGGATCTCTGAACTGGGGATATAGAGTAGCATTGAGGGAGAAAAGTGTGGCATATTTGAATGCCTATGCTGAGTTTGTTGATCAACATACTATCAAGGTAAAGCTACAATAACAATATTAAATGATACAACGAAATTAAAAAATATAAAACTAATTTTGCTTTCATTTCTCTTATCTGTTATTAATAAGCAGTTTCAACTTTGAATATGCTATATTTTAATTAACAAAGTAAAACTAAATGGCGGTAGTAGTAAATTTTTTTTGTAAGTGATAGTATTTATGTACTCAATAACAGGCCTATCCATTGAGAAACCAGTATAATTGTTGATTTATAAATTACAAAATGCATCCTTGAAAATCCATCATTTCAAGTTTTACCAGGACTGATTTAATTATATAAACTGTCTGCAGTACTTTTGGAAATAAAATAAAAAATTTAAATCGTTTTTAAGGTTATCAGAATGGAATTCGACTACCAGTAATATAAAGGAAACTATATAATACCCTTTTTAAATCCCCAATAAGCTTTGTGTAATTCAATGAAATTGAATTTGTATAAATATTGACAGTATGTAAAAAAAATTCAAAGTATATTTTTATAACGTTTTGGTTACATATCGTATTCAAATATTTAAGGTGTGCGACTATTAGCTTTATTCTTAGATTAATATTTAGACTGTAGAGCCGCAAGACACATCGTCTAAATTTGTCCGGTAATGGGGATTGTCTAGTGTGTGCTTTGTGATAAAAAGAAATTTATTATTTGAAATAATTATTAGCAGTTAGCAGTGCTTAGCACTGTTGATTTTAGATTTCATGTCCCAATAGTTTGACATATTTAACGTACTCATTTTTTTTCAAGTTTTCTCAATTAACCCGAAACATGGGAAGTCATTCAACTCAATGTATTTGAATCATAGTGATTTCATTTATTGTATTCACAATAGGGCATTTCACATTACTAATATTAAGTATAAATCGTACCTCTATTCAATTTACTTTTTTTTTTTTGGAATTTTCTGGAATCTTTTTTAGTACACTAAATGTTAGAAAAGTAACAATGACTGTGATATGTAAAGATTATGCCATTATGACTAAACATGATGTAACACTTTAATCTGACTTCTGATAAATGCTTGTAGTCTTGCGTTCTGTAAAGTTATGTTGTAGAAAAGTATGGTAATGCGCCAGTTAGATATTTTCAAATCAAATGTTGAAAATTTTGCCTTGCTTTCATGGTTCAAACATTCCATTCTTATTTTTCTACAGACAAAAAATAAACGAGGCGTAGAAAAAGTCATCACTGCAAACAATGTCATAGTAGCTGTTGGAGAAAGACCAAAGTATCCGGATTTACCTAATGCAAAAGAACTTTGTATCACAAGGTAGTTTATTATTGTAGGCTCATGATTTACTGTGAATAGTAAAGAAATATTTGACATAAGCTTTTTGAAACAAATAATTTGTTTAGCAGAATAATGAGGTAGTCCACAAATGTAATTTATATTTTTGTTATCGGGGCACAAAGTGATCATATTGCTGCTTTGGGGTGATTGTTGTTATTGTGTAATAATCATTTTTATCTGCAACTGTTGGTCCTATCGAATTTTCAGCCGTTAGAAGGTTATTTCTTTCATTGCCCTAATTTTCTCTGTGTCGTATGGGGATTGCTATTTTGTCATTTGTGTATATACTAACATGTGGCATTTAATCAAACTAGTCTGCCATCTTTTCCGTAAATTCGGTGATTGTCTGAGTCCCTATTGTTACTGATATGAATTTTTATGATAGTAGGACTTGATTTAAACCATTTGATTGATCAGAAATCATTTCTGTGTAGACCGCATAGGCTACTGCTTCGCTGCAGTTCGTAGTTCGACCTTTTTGATTTTAAATTTGAGCATTGCTCTCCTGTTTACAGTGATGATTTGTTTTCTTTGCAACATTGTCCTGGAAAGACATTGGTTATCGGAGCTTCATATGTTGCTTTAGAATGTGCCGGATTTCTCAGTGGTCTTGGACTTGATGTTACAGTAATGGTGCGGTCTATTTTTCTAAGAGGTAACAATCTATTATTTGCAAATAAATTTTTATATAATAAATTACTAGATCAAAATGATGCCTCAGAACTAAATTAAATAGAGTTTTTGAAGGTTAGATTTAGGTATAATGAGCAATATTCAAGATATACACAAATTATATGTAAAAATGATTTTCAGACAGCATCGAAAGAAGAGAACATATTAATTGGACCAATGTCAATGTGCACTTCTGAATGTAATTGCTTTTAAAAATATAATTGTAATCAATATGCATACGCAGTAACTGTTCTTTGTCGAGTATTTAGAATTCTAGTTCTAATCACAAAAGTAGTTTTACCAATACCTACCAGTCAAAGTCGTGTTAGGAGAATGTTTCCTAAACTTTGATTGGAAGCTAAAAAAATCAAAAAATAACATTTTAGCACTGGAAATACCTTGAGATCACTTGTTTCTAACAAAACTTACACGTTTTGCTACTGATTATCAGATTATATCATTGAAGGTTTCATAAAACCAATGGTGAAAAAATTAAAAATTGGCCAACACTCAAAATGCTGAAGTTTTCATGAAAATAATATAGTGTATTATAACGTCAAGTTTTATTTTTATTAATAGCACTTCTGGAGTATCAGAATGATAAAACAGTATGCCATCATTAAAATTTGCTTAAAATAGATTTAAACATGATCCATAGATGATGTAACATGGTTGCCGATCAGTCATGACTAAGCAAACTTTGTCATTGTTTGTGATAAACTTCAAAATTTATGGGTTAATAATCAGCCAGGACGGGACAAACTTAGTCATTGTTTATGACATGAGCCTTATATAAAATAAATGAATCATAGGCAATGATTTGAAAAACTTTTTATGCTGTCTCATTGTTCTGTGTTCTATATGGCACATAAAAGTTGTACTGTAATAATGAAATGCAGTTTATTGAGTAGTATTCATGTCATGAACATGTTTTTATTTAACTATAAGGTATTTTAGGATAATCACATCAATATTAGAAATTTTGAGGTTATACTTGAAAAATTATTGTTTTGCTGTTCTTATAATTAGGTCCTAGTATCCAACTATTTTGTACATATTTTATTAATTTAGAATATTATCAAATTGAATAATAGTAAATTTATAGATTACAATTTCAATGAAAGAAATTTATGTTAAGATAACATATTAAAATTCGATTGTTTTATCGAATTCTACTTGATTGAAATTCCTTAAGCACACCTTCGTTTGGTGTATCAATTTATATGTATTAGTTATCAATATATATTATATGCCTGTAATGTAACCAAAATATATTTTCTAAGTGTCTTGTTCTAACTCCCTATTTATAAAGTTTTCAAACAAAATGTTGTTTAACTGTTCTAAACCCATTTTTGTGAAATTTTTATTGCTTTATCTCCAATACTTTTAAAATAATCATTTTCTATAAATATGTTTTCAAATTCTTTATACAGGATTTGACCAAAACATGGCAGAAAGGGCCGGAAATTACTTAGAAAAAGAAGGCATTCGGGTCTGGAGGAGGTTTGTACACTTACTAATCATGTGTAAAATATTTTTTTGTTTTAACACATGATGAAAATGAACTGCAAATCTGAAATTTTAAGATATTAAAATGAAGATTGATTTCATTATTGATTGATTTCACATTAAGTCTTTGATAAATGTTGCATAATATAATCTATAAAGAGTTGGCCGAAGAAGAATGATCTACTATTCCAAATACATTCTCAAATAAAATTTTGATTATGGAATATTGAATATATCTAAATTAGATCATAGAAAACATATAAATCAATTTATTTAAGGATTTTAAATTTAGGAATGCAGAAAAAGGTAATAATATAAAGAATGATTTGATTGGTTCTCTATTTTTTAGTTCTCAAGTAAATGAAGTAACGAGAGATTTTAACTACTAAATGATACTAATCTAAATTACACTTTGCTCCAGAATATGAAATAACAAATATAATTAAATCTGAATAGATTCAAATATATATAACTTTCATCAACCATGGTTTCTTTTCAAAGATACCAATTCTGGCTTCATCTGCTCTTTTATAAAAATACCTAGTTTTGCTTTCACACATTTGCAATTAACTTAATGATTGCCGTGCTTAATAATTATAAATCCATATATATTTTCGATTAGGTTTGTTCCCACTGCAATTGAAAAAATTGAAGATGGAGCTCCAGGAAAAATCAGAGTATCTTGTAAAAGTACTGATTCAGATGAGGATATCAAAACAGAGGAATTTAACACTGTAAGTTGTTATTACCAAAATTGTGTATGTCAGGTATTTTGCGCTGTATCAGGTACCACATCAAAGATGATAATTTTTAACTGGCATGGTTTTGTCAAAGCAAAGTTACAAGGTATTGGTTGGCATGATATATAGAGGGAATTTTAGTGTAATACTGTGCTTGCTTGTTTGGAATTTGAAGTGTTTTTTGCCATGGTCCCATGGATTAGCGACAGGTAGGAATCTTCGATGCCGGCCTGTGATTTTCTGAGAATTACCAAGCACTTATTTTCTGGCTATAGTAATATTGTAAACTTTCAGGATTGCTCTTAAACCATTATTTGATCATGTTTTCATAGTATTTTTTATTGTTTATTTTTAGGTACTTGTCGCAATAGGAAGAGAATCCTGCACTAAGACAATAGGTCTTGATAATGCCGGTGTCGTTTCCAAGAAGTATGTGATGCTTTTCACTATGTTGGTATAGTTGTTAACTTATAAACTTCTGTTGGTTTCCAGTTATCTGTTTTTCATTATTGCAAGTGTGCTTTTTAATATCATTTTTATAATGTATGTTTTTGTTACAGAAATGGGAAAATTCCAACAGATGACTATGATCAGACGAATGTTTCTCACATCTATAGTATCGGGGATAATGCTGAAGGCCGACCTGAGCTTACACCTGTAGCTATACAAGCTGGCGTTCTGCTTTCAAAAAGATTGTTTGCTGGCTCAAAAATTAAGGTAGTTTAAAAATTCTTTGTAGCTAAAAATGTCAGATAACATTGTTGGAGTAATATTTTGGGTCTAAGCTATTTAAAACGGATTTTACTCTAAGGAAATCAAATTTTATTAAGTATGTTGTCTTTTTTAAGTATTAATAACAAGGTTTGAAACGTTAGGGAATTGTATGGAGAAAAATTGTGATGCCAACCTAATATAACTTGGTAATTTCAACTTGGCTTCTTTGCTGTTTATAATTTATTCAATGGATAAACATTGTAATTATGTGAATTAGTCTTTAATATGTATTTTTTGTCTATTTAAGTGTGATTACGACAACGTTCCAACAACTGTCTTCACACCTCTTGAATACAGCGCTTGTGGATTGTCTGAAGAGAAAGCAATAGAGAAATACGGAGAAGACAATATTGAAGTAGGTATCTTATTTTTAAAGCCTAATGGGCATTGAGCAAAGTGGTCCAAAAAGCTTGATTTACATTTTTCATGATGGAAATAGCCCTAGATATGTCATGGACTTCTAATGTTTATATGCTTATGCTTTCAAATCATAGTAATTTTAACTGATCTTTTTCTAGGTTTATCATTCTGATTTTTGGCCTCTTGAATGGACTGTTGCTGGCCGTGGAAATGAAGACTGCTATGCTAAAATAATTACTAATTTGCAAGAAAATGAAAGGGTTATTGGTGAGTACTTATTTAATAGTGCATTACAAGTCATTCATAATGCAATATATCTCTTAGTAAGAAAATATTCTGAAGGAACAATTTAAATTATCTTTCCTAATGACTAGCATACCTTCCTATTCCACATACTCAACATAAGTTCAATTTCTATTCGACTACTTTGCACTTGCTCATGATAGTTTTTTGACTCAATAAAATAATAATATCTTCTCAAAATGAATAATGTCTCCTAAATTTTTAGGTATGCATTATATGGGACCAAACGCAGGCGAAGTTATGCAGGGTTATGCAGCAGCAATGAAGTGTGGAATGACAAAAGCTCAACTTGATCAAACCATTGGAATACATCCTACAACGGCAGAAGTATGTATAACTTTTCATTTTTTAAAAAAAGGATAATTAACATATTTATCATTTATATTTGAAGCGTTTTTAATCCATTTGATACAAATGGTAAAAACTTGCTAAAATTTTATTTCAATTCTGTTTGTTGTTAAAAGTTATTATTTTGCAATACCAACCTAATTTTGTTGTGGTTTATTCTGAACAAGTTTTTATGTGAAAACAATAAAATGGATACAAAATTGATATCTATTCTTGAATATAGCCGAGTTTGTTTACACTTTTTATGATTGTCATGGGCGTCAGATATCCTATTTTTTTCAACCATGTTCGGTTTGTAAGTCATCTGCTCATTTATTACATTATTGTTGATAAAATGAAATATGTTTGTGTAAATATGTGCAACTCTCTAACCTCTCTGCCTTATTTTCAAATCTTTTTTCGCTTAATTTCATTTTAGTATTAAATGTATCTTACAAACCTTCCAATTTTCAGACATTTACGACGCTCAACATCACAAAAAGATCTGGAGAGTCAATTAAAGCAAATGGCTGCTGAGGTTAAACCCTGCTACAGTAATTCCAATCATTATTTATAAGTAAAAAGCAAATTGAGACAGGATTTTCCACCAGTATTATTTATTAGGGATACAATAGAATAGAATGAAATATAAAAAAAAATCAAATTTGGGTGCTTTTGATTTTACTGAATTTGACTGACTGAATTTGACCCAAGTCTGATCAGTAATACTGATAATTATGTTATTCCACTACCATTTCAACTAATCACCTTACCCAATATATTTACTCAAAAATCTTGAATCTCGTTCGTTTTGCTTTTGCTTATATTAAATGGTTGGTTTGTCGCGGGGTTACTGGTATTTTGTGTTTTATGGCATTCTATGCTTCTGGGAACTTTGTTGTAATTTACGGTCATGATAGAACTAGTGTTATGTTATTTGCACGTGTTTGAGTATTCTTCACTTCTGAGTGAGTGAGTGCTTTGTGACTGTATTTTATTTCCATTTGCTCCCATTATGACGAGTGTTTTCTCAAATTGCTTTTTGCAACGGAAAACATTCTGAGAAAGAAGTTTAACTGCCATTTCTCTGTTTGTTCGTTCTTGTATGTGTAAACTGTTCAGTGTTTTGTCATTTAGGCATAGAGCCATTGATTTGGTGATTTTTCAGTCGTTACATTTTTCCCCATACATTTCTCATTTAGTGTATATTTTGTCCATCAGTGCCTGACTAGAACAAAAGAGCTGACTTTATTCAGTTATATACAGCATCGGGTAGAGAAATAACTGAGATAGATCATAAGAGGTATTTCTCATTTGAAAAACCGTTTTCATGTTAATTATGTTGGGAATTTTTTTTGTTTTTCCTGTTCAAAGTTATTCTCAAGTTCATCATGTTTTATTTAATGTTCCAATTGCATACTGTGTTGATTCAAGTCAGTCTAACCTGCCATAATAATTTTTCTCTGGTGTATTATTGTCTCCTCAAAAGCACGGGTTTTAGGTTGTGAAAGAATTCAATTCTGCCTCAAATATCAAAACCATGTTCTAGTTTTGATTTTTTAATTATATTGGTTTATCAGTAGTTGAACATACAACTTTCGCTGTGAAAGATGTCTGGTATATGTAGACATTCAAAGTTTTTCTACCAGGTGGCAAGTCTTCACACTATTTTGGTTTATCTAATCATTTTTGTTTGTCCTGATTATAAATGGCACATGTATGTACTATGTATATTGATGACCCATACTTTGTTGTTACTCTTGTCTCCTATGCTAGAATATTCCATTTTGCTATAAAAATTTAAAGCTGTATTAATTGCTCTAATAATATTGCAATCTTTCTTGAACAAATTTCATGTTATTTATATACATTGACAATTTAAAAAATTTGATGGTCAATAAATATAGCGAAGCAATTCTGAATACATTGTTTTGTTCATTGTGATGACTAGGGAAAATTTGTCTTGATCCGAGACTGTTTTAAAATATAAAACCTAAAATGTAAGCACATCAAACAAGGGTGACTATGGAATTGCGGAGATTTCGGAAGAGGTTGTTTCCTACCTGTTATAAAACCAAAGCGTTCTTTATTAAATCAAGTTTGCCAACCCAGTCTACTCGTAGGAAAAAGTGCCTAGCCAAGTTTTATTTCGTCGCCTATTATGTATGGTGAACGAGAAACTACCACAGGTATTACAAGTGACGTCACATGATCAGACCAAACATGTGGTTCGCAGATGCTAATTAATAAGTACATTTGTCCGAGAGCAAGGGTCGCAACAATGGAAGGCACCGAAAAGACTATATAATGCGCCACTGAATCGGTAACATGGGCCGATCTACATATTTAAAAAATGCTAACTAAACTACAATACATGGTAGAAGACTATGAGCGAAACAAATTTATAGATGACATAGTCATAGGTCTTACATATATGTAGAACAATATAAACCTTTTGGAGTTGTCGAGTTTTTAGTTGAAATATTCTATTTTGGAAGTACTTTGGATTTGGGGTGTGAATATTCACGAATTAGGTCCTTTACCACCGATGTTAAATGAAATCATTGTCCCAAATCAACAAGTAAACGTTAAATATAGCGAAATAGAATGGCAATGACTGTACCAAAAGAGCTTGGTCAGTAATTACATTTCATGAACGTCGCATCTCAAGTAAGCTTTCGCATACGCAGACGTCCACGCTGCAATGAGTTATCGAAGTGAAAAAAATAAACATATATATATATATATAAAGACATTTCGATAATGTCCTGATTGCAATGAAGTCGTTACCATTCATTATTCAATGTCATCCAAAGCTTCTTCTGCTTTCCTCATTCCTTCGTCTCTGGTTTGTTCATCATCGATCTTCTGATAAAGAATCCTAGCTTCCTGGTAACATGCTTTCGCTTTCGGTAATTGTCCAATATCCTGGTACAAAAGCCCGATGTTGTAGGTTAACTGGGCGAGAGTGATAATTCTGAAAAAAAAAATGGGTTACTGTTAACGAAACATCCATACCTTACGCTAATTTCCACTACAAACCCCCGTGAATCGTAAATATTTCTATTCCTACCTGCACTCAGGTCCGATCTTTTTCTTTAGTAGATCAATTCCTGCTTTAAGCATTGCTTCCGCTTGTTCAAATTGTCTCAATTCATAGTACCCAATACCGACGCTGTTCAAAACCTCCGCTTGATTTTCAGCTCTAAATTCTGGGTCGACATGAACTCTTTCGCTGATCGACATGAAAGATGAGTGCATTTGAAGAACAATAGACATCGCTTGTCGCACCTAAACCATAAAATAAAACGCAATATTACCTGTTAGCATTGCTGGCTATTTACAATATTTTGTGCGAATGGTAAAGGAGAAAAACACTTCCTCACTTGTGAAGGGATTTCACCGTCAGAATATGCGCCACCAACTTGTTTGGCCAATGAACGCACAGAATGTCGTGCTTTCAAGATGCAGTCACGCATGCGAAGTAACTTTTGTCTGTCATCAGTGATTCGGCTGTAGCAATTTTGTGCTTCTTTATAACGATTGAGAGCTGACATATATCTATAAAACAAACAGAAAGTGGTATTATAGAGAGTAAGACACGATGGAATTTATGTACTACAAAATAAGTGCTACTAAGCAACTCTGAAACGAGATATGTTGCAATGGTATGCTATTGGATTTGGTTCATCCAACAGCAGTGTCAACAGGAATCTTAGGTAAAAACGACCGTTTCGGTCAAATTCATGGTGTCGCGGGATGGAAATTTTGGGTTCAATATAATGCCAACCACCTTGCCCCGGATACACCAAAAGGGGAATGACAGTGCTGAATCGGAAAGATTTGGGCCCTCCCAATAACATTGTAGGCTAATATTATCACATACATAGTATTATTTACCAAAGGTTCCTTGTCTAGAGCCTAATAGAGAGCGGTTAAATACACCTCGTAAAAAATATAGATTATTGTGCGGTTTACCAAAATTGATTTATCCTATTATCGACTACTCGTTTCAATTACCTTCCTGTACATTCAAACGCTAGACCGACAACATTCATACATAGTGCTTTGCAGTGATCTCTATACCCGACGTCAACATCACAGTTGGTGATGATATCATTAAACAAATCATGCATTTCCAACAACGACGTCAAAGCATCTCGCGTTGTTGGTGAACCCCCTTCCACCGGATCTACTTTCATCAGTGCTTGTATGACGTCATTGAGTCCGCCCATGCATAGAATCATACCGTCAATCCCCTCCTGCCTATTCTCGATCCCTAGATGTTTTTGAACAAATTTAACAGTTTTATCTTAACTGTTTTTATTACAGGTATTCATGCAAGATGCAATAGATAGAGTCATTTAATAATCTGTCAATAATCTATCAAAAATGAAAAAGAAATTACAAGCAGGACTTGGAATGCCATATTCAGTGTTTAAGTCAGCGGCTTCTTCCAACCCGGGTTTGGTCACGCTCAGTTTCTCAGATTAACTAATTCATTTCAAATTTTTAAAAAGATTCTAGATTAAAAATAAAGTATATTATGGGTTTGGGTTAAAAAAAAGGACGCCCGCTCAGTAATATTATAATGTATTAAGTCATATATACCTGAAAAGAGTACATTTGACATGTAGTAATATCTGATTGCATCTTCAAATTGATGGTTCTTCATACTTTCCCCAGCTTTTGCTTTAGCGTTCTTTGCTGTAGCGAGAAGATTAGATTGCTGTTTTTCTGTTTTCACTGTTCTGTCACTGATATCTCGATTCGTCATGTTACTTATTGCCTGAAAATAATATATATATCAAATAAAAACAACACACACGTGGTAATTTGCTTATATCATATTTGTCTTTATATTTATATAAATTATGTATACCTTACGAGTCAGTTTAGAGCAAATAAGTTTGATAAAAAAAGATCATGTGCCTACATTCAAATTGTAATTTTGGTAAATTTCGAACGTGCAGTGTTGCAATATAACACATTGTAAAAACTCATTTCAACCGACCTGTTGGAAATGAAATCCTGCTTCTTCTATTCTTCCCAAGTTGAACAGACAACCAGCAACTAACTCGTGCATGTAACAGTTAGTTTTCTCAAGTTGAAGTTCAAGCATAGGTAATGCTTCAGCAAACTGGCCCATTCGATAGAGTTGAACAGCTTTGTCTAAGAAATATATTAATTGAGTAAAACATTCAGTTTCCTAATAACGGTTGATCGAAACGGTAATACTTAACTCATTGAGGCGCGTTTAGGTTACTTCTGAAATATTAGTTTGTGCAATACTATCTTAAAATTAATTAGATACGTACTCATACTAATAGCGAAATTAAAACAAATCTTGATCCATGTAATATTTAGATTAAAAACATAAAAATTTAGAATCAACTAATTACCTAATGTCAAACTAATAGCAACAATTACTAAACTTTACCGATTGATTCCGTTGGACCTTCTATGTGAACCATTGCGATTTTGATGTGGAAATGGCATTCCAGTTCGTAAACGCACAGAGTATGTTTTCCGAGACCGCTCCGTTCACCAACTATAATCAAATCTGCCAATCTCTTCTCAAGATCTGCACGAAGTTCATCAGGAATGAGCCCAGCTTCTGCGCAAAGGAAAATAAAAAGCAAAATTAAATGAAATATTTGAAGATATTTCCAACCGAATGTGCCATATTAGTCCTCCTATTTTTACAATATAAAGTAAAACTTCTGTTAGCGGTTTCGGGTAACCTCGTGGACTGTATTTCACCTTGTCGTTCGTCGTATTTCATCAGAGCTGCTTTTTCACAAATTTTTCTGCATCGATCAATAATATCATCTCGTATTTGCCGAACTATAGTATCCATGTTGAATTGGATGTTAGGTCGTTCACGAGAATCAGGCACTTTTTGAATTCCCCCTCGATCTGTACAAAAGAAAATCGGGAATATTTTTGGTCAAAATAAAATCAAATAAAATATTGCAAACAATATTATCCTTGATCATTTTTGCAATTATTACTTCGACGGATTATAAAAGTTCCAACATACCTTTTATCCGCTCCAGATTAAATTCCTGAGATGTCAAGTTCAGCGTTGCTTGATGGAAAGAGTACGCCATGCCTTCCATTGGGGGCATCGTAGAATTTTTTTGAGGTGTATATCCAGGAAGCTCACCGGCAAAAGATTTTCTTCTTGTCACCGGATCCTTAGCAAGATTTTTCTGGCAAACAACATTTTTGATCATTGATTGGAAAGCACACACTGTTTGCTGTTTGTCAATACACAATATAATTGTATGGGTGGTGCTGTTACATGTGTCTACACTAGCTTTTTTTAATCCTGTGTCATGATACTGATTTAACGTACCAGCTCGAATATGTCAAAAAACGTCCCCGGCAAAAAATAAATTTCAATTTTATCGACTCACCCCGATGGTATCAACGCTTGGTTTCTCAGGTTTATCTGAATATATTTCCGCTTTTGATGACGATCTCGGCAGTTTGTTTTCAGTGTCCGCAAGAAACATCTGAGCCAATCTTTTGGCTGTTGCCACATCTGTATCACTATGTGACTCCATGATTTTAACTCCAGAGGTTTTTAATAATTATTTGGCGTATAACGCATTGCAGATATACGAGTGAAACACTGAAAAATTTAATTATATAATAAAAAAATGATATAGATAGAGAATTGCGCTTTCTCGTTTCATGATATCAAAACTATGGGCACTTTGCAAAATGTAACTAACTGCTGTTATTGAATGGCAAAATGGGGAAAATTTGCAAAGGCGAAATTCGCCAATTTGCATCGACTAACTATATATTTTATTGGTATATAACGATAAGCAAGGTGTACAAAAATGTTATGACTACAAATTAATCTCAATTATACGTGAAGTTTATGAATGTCAAAAACTCACTAAAACAGTTTTTAGGAATTTGATCTTAAAAATTCTCAAGTATAGTCCCAGATTACACGCACCTTCACGCGAGTAATACATGAATCCTAAATAAAGTTATTCGCATGAAACCTCAATATGGTCAAGAATTAGAATAATAATTTAGCGAACGTAACTATGGTGTTAAAAAATAACTTGACTTTGTATTAACCCGAGCGTTGATTTATCCCGGGCAACGAAATAATGGTTGTCAAGCAATTAATCGTCACTGAGAGGATAAAATACTATTGGTAATTTCTATATTACCTCGTCTATTTATTGTTTTTGTTGAAACGCATCCAACCGTGACCGCTTGTGGAAAGGTTTATATTACAAGTCGTGGTTGCGATATTTTTATATGTCTCCTTATAAGGAGTGGATTGGAATAAACGTAATTGTTAATGATGTAATCATAATGAATAAGAATGATATTATTACAATGACTTCGAGTCTGGAATGAAGTGATGTTATAATTTACTGTTCCATCAATGAAAAAAGAACATTATTGTTCAATTAAAAATGGAACATTACGTATGTATGTGAATATAAACTAATGTATTGAAAAGTATGCATGTTTGTTCACAACTAAATAAATTATGACTTGTTTATGTTGAATGAAGCATACGACCAATAGGTAATTACCATAAAAGATTTTTCAGAACATTTCTAAGAGATTCAAGTTTTTACATAAATATATTTACTATCATATACAGCAAGACTATTTAATTACTTAGAAGAGTTGTCTTCACAATTGCTACAGTATGCCGGCTTCGTTCGCACAAAGCATGAAGGAAGAATGGATATAATTTAGTTCCACAGAAACCCAATTTATGACATTTATTTATGCGGTTGCAGAATTACACACGATTATGTGCATACATTTATTTCGTTCCCCTTAAATAAAAATGATGTAATCGTCTAACGTTAAGTATCATGTGTCTATTTAGAGTTTCTTGCCACTTATTTTTTTAACCATCAAACATATCTGCAAATAAGTTACCAAAATGCCGTTTACAAGCAGATTAAATGCAAAGTTTATTTTTACTTATTTAATGCGGTTAAACTTCTTTAAATAAACGATATTTGCGGAAAACAACACTCGAGTGACGTAAAATTGTAAGATTAGTCGAGGTAACGTCAACGACACGGATAGTTTCCTGAACGTTACCGATATTTTACGCTCGGTTGAGCTTAACATGATTAAAGTTTAAAACCATCGTGATTAATGGGTAAGAATACATTTCGCATTCCTGGCCAGTTATAACACGATTATTATAACATAGCACTAAATATTTAGGTTGAAATGCAAAATCATTTCACGCATTCTTTTTTACAGTATTAAAGTTCATCTTAAAGTTTTTGGAAATTGTTTTACATTAAATTTCCTGTACGTCAGGTAAGATCATTTTCATCTTGTGTTGTGGTACGGAAATGAAATTTAAAATTTTTTTTTCGATGCGATATAAAACTCAGTATCTTCCGAATGGAACAGTACAAGATATACTGCTTGTTGACGAAGTAAAAGCAAAAATGGCCGGAGCAAAAGCTTTGAGACACAAGTTGAATGAAGAATTTCTGACTTGTCAAATATGTCTAAATACATACGACGACCCGGTTTTGTTGGATTGTCAACATTCGTTTTGCAGAAATTGTGTGGATCAATGCGTGACTATGATTTCAGGTGGAATACATTGCCCAGTTTGTAGACAACGGACTCTATTACCGAGAAAAAGTGGATTGTCGAATTTGAAGAAGAATTTTTTTGTCCAGGTATCCGCTATTTCAAACGGCCAATCTATAGATACTGTAGCTTTACAAAGAAGTTTTGTACACAACATGTGTATTTAAATAGAGTAAATGCAATAGAGTAAATACTTTGTCCGAAAAATTATTGTTGTTTTCTGATTTATGTTAATATTCAAAAACAACTGGTTGTCTCCCCATTAATTGCTGGAACAATGACAACGAAAAACTATACAGTATGAACGCCTTTATCTGTAATTTTTTTTTCTTCAGAGTCTAATAGACACTATTAAAGGTCGCAGAGAGTCCAATGCATCTACAATATCTTTAATATGGGAGGAAATTGGATCAGGAGAATCAAAAATAATCAGAAGGTCAGTACATTGCAAACAAAATATTGTTGTACCAAATATATTTACTTTTTCACTGAAAAAGCATTGTATCTGGCATAGGATTATTTAAATAATTGGTTGACCTTAAAAAATCGATGAAAAACTTCATTACATAATTTAGACGTCATCCTTTATGTGATATATGTGACGATGAAGTAAAAGCAATGATGAGATGTTTGGATTGTTCAGATTATTTATGTGGAGATTGTCACCTTGTTCATTGTCAGACAAAGTTTACACGGAATCATAAGGTAAGCTATGACTGAGCCTCAATGTGGGTTTTAAAATCTTTATTTGTTAGAATGTAACTTCAAAAGAAACATTTTGATTTCAATATTTACCAATCTTATTTCGAAATGTTTAATAAACAAAACTAATTACGCTGACACGACATAGACAGTTTTTTCATAATAAGATTTCTTTTCATATTCTTAGAATATTTTGGAAAATTCGTTTCTGATTTCTAATTTAATCATAATAATCACTTTTGATTTCAATGACTTATCATTGAGTTCTGGTGCTTCGCGACTGCCTGAGGTCCAGGACCCAAATTTGTAATCATTTAGGTTAGGTAAATTTCATGATTTCTTCCATCTCGGAATAAAGTTATTTTCTATTGTATTTGAAGTTATTTTTATACCCCAATTAGTCCATTTTCATGCACTAACTTTGACGACATTCTTTGTTACAGATAGTGACGCTTGGTAGTCTAAAGACCGGAAAATACAGCTCGGAAATTCAAGCTCGAGCAAAGATATTTTGTTCTCGCCACGAGGATGAGGTATTTCCTTTTAGTGGTTTTCAATGAGTTCTATTAAAACTTTGTAATCGCTTGGCTAATACAAGTTCATTTTATTTCCACGACAGATTTGTCGAATGTTTTGTCAATGTTGTAAAATTCCCGTTTGTCATGATTGTATACAAGAAACTTGTGGACAACATCCATTAATACAAGTTAAAGGTAATATTTATAATCATAAAAGCAATTGTAAGCAAATTAGACATTGCGAATTTCAGGAGCACAATTGCTTTATAAGACCTGTTCTAAATAAGATATTTCTGAATACCAATCGTTCTTTTATCCAAGTAGGATATAGTACAAAAGAAAATATAGAAACATAATTGAGAAGCAAATTTGCGTATAAGAAGCATTATTTATTATTTGAACATTTTGGTATTTTTTTTTAGCCGCAGTTGAAGATGTCAAAAGACGTTCCAGTGAACTTGTTATCTCAATAGGGAAGGAGATTTCAGACTCAAAAGCGTTGGTTGATTCAATATTGGAAACAAAAACAAAACGTAAAAATGAAAAGGAAATCATCTTGCGTGACATTGAAAAACATACAAAATCTATTATAGCGTCTGTGAAAAAAAGAGGGAAAGCCTTGAATGAGGTGAACAACCTGAATCTTTACTTCTTCGTAACATGAAGGCTTTTTTGAACTGTAGCCACGTCTCAGTGTAAATCTTCAGGAATACCGTAAAAAGCAGTAATTTGTTTTGCATTGTTAAAATACCTGGTTACGAAAATGCAGGTCTGTTTTAACCATGTAACATAAGCACATAACCAAGTAATCAGAAAATTCACCAACAGCATAACAGCAGTTTTAAAAGTTGGAAAGCATAATGTGACCTAGTGTGTAATTATATTATCTTTATATACCTTCTGTCCCGCATGCAAACATCCTCGACCCCATAGTCAGTCTGTTCAGATAACTCTGCTAAATTTGTAATTTTGTTATTCGTGTTTTATCTTAGGCCTTGAAGCAACTTCTAAACGATCACAACAAATATCTCGGTAAATATGAACAACTTGAAACAAAAAAATTAAATGAAATTGAAAAGACGTTCAATGGTTTTCAAATCAAACATCAAACTACTTTATCATCTGGAAGTCCAACAGATATTTTGAATTTGTTGAGCACAGTTGAAGAAATGGAAGGGATTGTTCAATCAAACTCGAGAGAATGTGTCGGTATGTTGTCGAATATGAGTCCTGAATAAAGAATAGAAATTTAGAAAAATCCTCACACTTTTACAATAACGACACATAAAACACAGGTTCATTTCATGCCCAGTAAATATTACTTAGACCTCTAGTTGTTCAATATAAAATTGATAATTTATGCTCGGTAAAGTTGATGATTAGGCAGAACAATCTCAAAATTATATGTTCAACATATTAATTTATGATGAAGTGGTACACTGACATCACGAAGACGGGGCTTGCTGACTGTTACACTCTTTTGTATTGATAATTTCCAGATGACATAGAATTGAAAGAAATTTTAAGATGTCAGGATCCACTTGTGAAATTGACGACACCATCAAACAACGAAGAAAATAGAAAGATGAAAATTTCGCACTGTATGGGGAAACTAATGTGTAAAGGTAACTGAATAGTATATATGGAAAAACAGTCTTTAGTCTGTCACATTGATTCGTAAATCTAATGCGGTATCGTGCCTTTTAATGAATATTTTTTTAGTATTATTATTTTGCATGTTATCACATTGCAGACGTGTTGCAGAAAGATTCTCCTAATACAACATCTTATTTGGAGAAAGGACTTATATCCTTTGGAGAAACCGAAGATTCTACTAACAATAATATACCTGAAGAAAATGAGGATCCACAATATTGTGAAATTAATGGTAAAACTCACATAAAAATATATATGTTATTTGGATTTAACAAAAAAAAAATAGAAAATATCTTCAGAAAATATAGATCTCAACTTTATCGAAAATTGGCCAAATTTTTGAGGTAAAAGTAGGCCTACTCTATACATTAGCATCACTCTAAATATTAGCAACAGTTTCACCTCGACACTAACTGCGGTAATCGGTAATTTTTCATCGTACGTATTTAAGTATAATAGTTTAAAACAATATATACGTTATATCAATGCATATAATTATCGTAATATGTATATAATATGTAATTTAGTAACATAAAATTGAAATTCTTCCAGGTTATGTTGGATTTATAACCCTGAAAATTGATTTTTACAGACCTTGAAGCTGAAAACGGTGATACAAATGCCACAAACGCAACTCAAGATAATACTGATCCAAACCAGGACGCTTTGTACGCAAAAATTCCCCGCAGGAACAAGAGAGGTATTTAATTAAATTAAACGTTTTTTGTTTTGTTTTTTGCACCAGCATTTTCTATTTCCATTTGTGATTTCTAATGCGACTTTATCACGTTCAAGTTATCCAGCCGTTGGTCAGGTGAAATAAACATTAAACTATTTATAAGTTGCAGTTTTTAGATGATGTGTGCGTTCAACTTTCGTTAAAATGTTTTATTTTATAGAGTACTATTTATACTTTGTTTATGATGCATGCAAACTCTATACATTCTTACGCGTTTTCATTAATTATGAACTAAGTTTTTAAGCAGTATGAATATACAATAGAGTTTGTCGTATTGATTGCAGCAAAAGCAATACGAAGACCTCAAACTTTATCAGATGATGTAACAAATTCACCGAGTATGAACCTTAGACGGAAATTATATCACACTGATGAAGAGCCGATCCTCATGAACGATACAGTAATGTGTTCAACAAGTAGTTTTGATGCCAGCGAATCGACAATATTCAGCGCTGAAGGTAATAAACTATATTGTATATTTAGCTTAGATAAAGTTTGTATTGTGGGCTACATCGGGTTTGTATCTAAACTACCTAGTAATATGTATGTTATATAAAGGCACCTCGTATATACAACCACGCTTTTTAAATAGCTCATTTGTTATTGTGCAGAAATACGCTCATAAACCTAAAGCACACACTTACCATAATATCTTACTTTATACACAATCCAGATTCACACGATGGATGGTCTCTGAACAGTCTTGTGGAGAATAATGGAAGTCATGCATTGCAAAATATAACCCCGCGGAGGGACGATTCTTCCGTGAGGCGATCTCAGTCTCTAGCTTTATTATCAGATCAAATCAATGGTATTCGAAGACCCACGCCTAAACCGAGAAAAGTCCTCATGGCCTCTTCAGTGGAAATGCTGAATGCTACAGACAGTGGTGATATTATGTCACGCCCGAATTCTCTACTTGATGACGTAATGATAAGGCAGCCAATAAGAATTCGATCCACAGAGAATCTTTGCAACCGTAGAAGCAGACCAGACGTTGACGTCGGTACGGTAATCGTGAGTACCTTCGAAATTCATGGACAACCATGTACGTTTACTTCTGCACCGAAAGTCGCACTATTAACCAATGGAAATATAGTCGCATCGGATTACAAGGTGATTACACAGTTGTTACATGCATTGCTTATATAATATCGTTATGTTCCACGTAAGCGTGGAAATTAGATAGTAACTTTTGACGTATTTGTAAATCATATATAGGCACAGCGTATTTTCCGTTTCACGGCGGGTGGTAACTTCATCAATAGTTTCAAACTTATTGCTGGTGGAAGAGGATTAAATCCAATTGGAATTTCAACTACTAAAAAAGGAAAAATAGTTGTAACTTGCGGTGAAACCGTTCGTGTCTTTGGAGTCACAGGAAAGTCAAGCAAGTAAGTAAAACACTTTTCAAAAACATTCAGAATATTCAATTTCAATACAAAGTAAAAATAAATAAATTTAAATAGGATGCGCAAGGATACATACTATAAACGACATTTTAACACGCATCATTGGTCACTACCGATAAAAAGAAATTAGCAAACACAAAATCAGTATAGTAATTTTCTTGAATTTATCTATTTTCCTATTGTTTAGAAAATTTGGAATGACGTTCTTTGGTAAATCATGTGGAGTAGCTGTAGATAAAAAGACGAATAAAATTGTAATCACAGACATTGAAAAGAGGTGAGAATATATTTTGAATATAAACTTTTCGGAACTACAATTCAAGCTGTAATTGATTGCTAATCCGTGAATTGTTCTCGATATATAAGTGACTAACACGGACAAAAATGAACTTATACTTATAAATTACCTTATAAATATACTTATTCGCTTTTCAATTTCAAGCTGTGCCTCGATCCATGCTTCGGATGGCGGATTAGAAAAGCTCTTCCGAGGTGGTACTGGAATTCAAATGAGACATACAGAAGCTGGAGAAGAATTGGAAACTCTACGTCTTCATACACCATATTTCGTTGCAGTAGATCAAAGAAATGGAAATATATTAGTATCAGATTGGGCGAATCACGATATCAAAGTAATGATTTTTTTAATTGATAATTTATAAGCAATTATATACAAAAATATAAAAACAACATGTAATTTTTCAGATTTTTGACAAAAAGGGAAATTGTCTTGCGTGCATAACATCCTGCATAGTTCCCCAAATGAGTCAAATCAGTTCAAGGCAAAAGTTTTTAAACCCGGCTGGTGTCTGTGTGGACGCGGACGGTAACGTGTTTGTGGCTGACCATGGTCATAACAGGATCGCTATGTTTAATGACAATTGGGAATTTCAAAGGTTGGTAGAAGTTAAATGAATAAAACTGTTTTCAATTGCGTATTATTATATCAGTTCCGCGCGACCAATCATCGGGTCATGTTTTTGATCTTGAGAAATGTGGGACGTTGAAAATCGTGAATGCTGCTCTCTATATGACATGAATCGTGTATATTGGAAATAAGCATCTTAACCTTAAACTGTGAAATATTTGTAGAAATCGGCTTTACTTTCATGTTCACAATGTGATCTTCGGAACAATATACTGAACAACCATTATGTGCCCCCAGGGGCAGATTATCCCCCCTTGGTGCCCTAAGCACTGAAGACTTTGGTGCCCCCTAATGTGTAATTTCATTATAAAAACAATAAACCACATGAGTGTATTATTCATTAAAAATAATCACAACCAACAGTGAATAAAACAACTATGACGAACATTTTAGGTTTTTTACCTGTTATATATAGCCAATATATATATCGGCCGCTTACTGCTGTAGTGATAATAGGTTATACGAAGGGCCAGGAATACAAATCTTCAATTTTTCTGAACCACTTTCAACCACTATTTGCGTAATATTCTATACAGATTTGTTGCAACTGAACAGAATGGACTTCGAAGTCCATGGTCAATCGTTGCAGATGGTAATGGAAGGGTTATCGTCACGGAATATTGGACAAAAATCATCAAGTCTTTTAGATACAGATGAATGTCACACCAACTTATGTACAAACGTTTGCTGATACCAATGACTTTTCGGGCAATCTAATTAAAATTGCGCAAATGAATTTAAGCTCCACAGTTGTGCATACTGCATACTTTTGTTAGAAATGTAATTAACTTTATAATAAATTTTGCTAATAATAAAAGTCTTCACTCTGCATGCTTTGTGAATTTGTTATTGTGCACGTGGGTACACTATTTTAGACTATTGTTTACATTGACGTCAGCTGGTCATCTGAATCTGGAATATGACCACCTGCTGCAAACGACACGTTGCAAAAACGCCATCTAAAGCTTCAATATATAAACGCTTTACGTAAAATTTCAGAACCGTGGACGAGAGTTTGGTACTATTTGTTGGATTCAAATCTAGTTTGTAACTTCTAAAAGTGGCAGTCATAGTCGAAAGATTATTAAAATAATCTATATGTGAACGCCGAAATTTTCGGAAGAAACGAAAAAGATTGCACACGCTAAAGTGTTCGCGGTCAAAATGTTTCTGGAGTATGTAGCCGCAGTCGAACTATTTTTGAACCTGGAGTCGAGCACAAAATTTATGTCAATCATAAGTCGTCAATTGGTTTTTGAATGATACGGATTCGGTAATCGGCATCGAATAGCTACTCCGATTCTACAGTCCTGATGTTCATAAACCCCAGTTTCATAAACCGCGATAAATATTAACACGATACATGTATGGTTATTATTCTACCGACATAACCCAATAGTTTTAGTGGACAAATATGAGCTGTTGAGTTCAAGCCTGCTATTTCGCTTATAGCATTCGAATAAACTCACTATTTATTCAGTATGTATCTCAGATTATATACTTTTATCTATATCTCGGGGGGAATTTAGAATTCAAATATATTACAAACTATAAAGCTTATTGTGAGAGTCAAAATTGATCCATCGTATTTCCGTGTCAGAAGTATATATCACATATAACGTAAGCGTACTCTTCTTTTTGTTTACAGTGATATCACATTCTTTGAAGCACGCGTCAGTCATAAGTATTGGCATCTCTCGAAGGTTTACCTTATTCTGCGTTACAGTCGGTACCGTTCTCGGCAGCTATGGCGGAGATAGTATACAAAGCATATCTCAAACGATATCTTCTCCTTGCGATTCTCTGTTTTGTAACATTTTGGCAAATATATTCAACTAACGGTTTCATCATTCTGAACAATGCTGTAACGATGTTCTACCAAATTACACCGTAATTAAACTCACTATTTATTCAGTATGTATCTCAGATTATATACTTTTATCTATATCTCGGGGGGAATTTAGAATTCAAATATATTACAAACTATAAAGCTTATTGTGAGAGTCAAAATTGATCCATCGTATTTCCGTGTCAGAAGTATATATCACATATAACGTAAGCGTACTCTTCTTTTTGTTTACAGTGATATCACATTCTTTGAAGCACGCGTCAGTCATAAGTATTGGCATCTCTCGAAGGTTTACCTTATTCTGCGTTACAGTCGGTACCGTTCTCGGCAGCTATGGCGGAGATAGTATACAAAGCATATCTCAAACGATATCTTCTCCTTGCGATTCTCTGTTTTGTAACATTTTGGCAAATATATTCAACTAACGGTTTCATCATTCTGAACAATGCTGTAACGATGTTCTACCAAATTACACCGTATGTAACAGATTTGCTGGCTGTTATTGGACATCTTATTGGCTTACCAGTGGGGCTGCTTTCTGCTTATTACAGCGATGCATTATCCCTCCGTGCAATGATGTTAGGTCTCATTTTAGCACTTTTGGGCGGTTCGCTTGTCTGCATGATTGGATTTCTTTCAGGGTGAGTAATATTGCTACGCCAATGTACTATGTCATTAGAATATGTCAAATTCAGAGTGCTGTCTCAAGTATTAAAAATAATGTCAAATGGAAAGCTATACGAAAAGATTTATAAAATATACAACACTGATTCGTATTATTTGTTCATTCAGAGATTTGTTCTACGTTACTGCAATCGGTCGACTCATAATGTCTTCCACATTCGGCGTAATGTTTACAACACAGGTTTTGTTGGCAGCAGGCTGGTTTCCTTTTAATGAGACAGCAATGGCATTTAGTTTTCCTTTGATGACAACTATTGGAGGCTCAATAGCATCATCCGTTATTTACCCCCTCGCCATCCCAACACTTAACTTCACCAAAACAACAAATAATTCGGAATGGGAAGGTTCTCACAGAGTAACAGTAGTGTTCAGCACGACATTCGGTAGCATGTGTATTTCCTCGTTATTATCATTGATATTAGCAATAATTTACTGCAAAAACAATCCTCCATCTCCTCCAAGCCGGGCGCAACATGAAATTTTATTGGAAACTGAAAAACGGAGTCGGAAATGTTGTATTGACCGACTGAAAAGCATTCGGAGCATTGTTGGAAAACATCAGTTTGTTTTAATCACTGTGGCGACGTCGTTTTTTCACTCTTACTTGGTGTATGGGATGATTTTGATGCCGTCTTGTATATTAACTACGTTTCCTGAAATAGAGAATATTGTTCCTGGAAAAATATTTCTCATATCGACCATTGGGCAAGTAGCAGGTGTTACAGTGGCCGGCAAATTGCTTGATAGATTTAAGACCTTCAAGAAAACAGTTTTAATTAGTAAGTTACTTGATTCTGGTATAGCAAATAAATTATTAATCTATAGGGGAATCTGTTCATCCATTCCGAAATAGGTTTCAATGTTGTTTCTATGCAGTGAGTTTTTTTTTGTGACTCCTGCTCGTTACATTGGAAGCTTTTTTGTAATATATATCTTCGAGTTTATCACGTCTATTCATTTTAGTCCGGTATAGTAACGAGAAAAGGGTATTCAGAATAGGTTTACTGATGAATAACCCCATCTGTTTCATGTAATATTTATATTTGGAACTCATTTTTGTCCAGGTATAGGATAGTGACTGACATAACTTTCCTAACTCGACAAAAAGTTTTGTTCTGTTAAAATAAATACTGCTTTGAGTTGCTGAATAAAAGATAATTATTCTAGACCCAAAAAGTACAACTCTGAAACCTAAAGTACGTCATATGTGAATTTAACGTCCACTCGAAGCTGAAACTGCATTTTAAGCGTACAGTAAAAAACCATTTTCAGTAGCTGGGATTGGAATCTTTACCTTTTATAACTTTTCCAGGTGTAATCATCATGGTACTCTCATGTGTTGGACTGTTCTTTGCACATTCCCGCCGAAAAATGACCCTTCTTTATATATTATACACAACAATTAACACGGCAGGTGGAGTGTACATACCTTCCGCTATTGAATTATTGGTTGAAACTACTTATCCAGCTGACAAATTGCTTCTGATGTCATTATATACGTCGATTTCGAATACCTTCATTGTCATTTTCACGTCCATTACCAGACTGATGATGACAAAACTGGGAGTTCCAACTGCTACCTTAGCGACAGCTGGCTTTCTCATGATTTCGATGATTGCCATACTAATGATTAATCCTGATTATAAAAGACATAAGATTGATACCACTACATTGAACGGTAAAGGTCGCAACGAGGAATTGAACGAAATGAATGATACGCGTTTCATATGAACGAATGCAGAATTATTTGAATAGTTTATAATCATTTCCATGAATAGAAACAAAAATTGAAATAGTTGTTCTTTTTAATTTATTAATTGTAAAAATATATACGGGCAAACATACTAGAAAATAGAGCGACAAAGTAAGCAACTATCACTTGAACCAGTAATGTAGATAATTTCTGAAATTTGATATTCTCATTTTCAAGTTCTTCAACACTGACTTTTATTGTCATTTATAATGCAATAGCTTTACATGTAGTTTTTCTCCTCTATTTCTATATATATATCGTGTTTCCCCGAAATAAAAAAATTCTTACTATCAACTAGACAGGGGTCGACAACCTACGGCCGGATCCGGCCTGTGGAGTAACATAATCCGGCCCGCGACGCTTCCCTGAATTATAGTAAAAAAACAGTTGTTTTGACGATTATATTTTTCACGTTACACAATTCATTATATTACAATCTAACAAGTATAAAATTCACAATTACTCGTTTAATAAACCTATAATTTAACTATAATTAGACAATTGGCAACAAAACGCTGAAAAGTTGATGCTAAGTGCAAAGGGTTCAATGGCGCAAAAAATGCAATGCAATGAGGAAATAAATCTATATTCTATTCGAGAGATGTATCACTGCTTCATTTTTATTATAAAAAGTATCATCCGTTTGATTTTCAACTTTGTAAAAATATGTGCAGCCCGCCAATGACTTGCAACCAATATTTTGGCCCGCGAGCGACAAAAGATTGCCGACCCCTGAACTAGATTAACATAGCCAAGAGGGTCAAATATTTGTTACACCGTGGATAATATTCCACGCCGAGTAGGAGGGCGTTCCTGAGTTCTGGCGATAACAACAAATTGATCAGTCGCTACATTTCAATTCAAGCCTAAAGTACGACTCACTGTATCATCGCCTAATTCCAGAGCATGAGCCACTGGAGCTTTGTCTTCATCAGCAATACATTGTAAAACTTCTGGTACATTACCCAAGAACTCCTGTTGCCAATAAATCAATAGTCTGTCGAACTAATGTAGAAGCCTCTTCTACAGTATCTTTGGAAAATAATAAGAAATAAAATTCACAGCTACATCACTAGAACTCTGTACATCAGATATCATGGGTACAGAGTATTTATATAATTCAGAGACTTATTATCAGATTTAATCGATGAATCTTTGCCGAAAAGACACAATCCGAGGCATGTAACCAAGGCACCTGGAGAGCCAGGAATCAGTAAATGGCAGAGGGCAGATACCTTAGGTATCCCAATTAATAGTTCAACATCGCCATCAATATTTTGGACCTTCAAACTATCCAAATGTGTATTTGTCAATTATATCTGGCTTTGTCAATAAATCTCTGGCGTCAGGAATTTTGTCAAAAGTTAAAGCTTTATGTTCCTCCACGATGTTAGTATTGTTCACGCCTTTTAGACAAAATGATACTCTTCCAACAGTATGAACAGCAGCGCCATTTGTAGTGCGTATCATGCAACGCTCTGGTTTACCAGAAAGCCCAATAAATAACTAGTCGAGTAGAGCAAAATGATCTTTAAGATCCTAA